GATAGAAAATATTCTCTACATCTCTATCGGTATATACTATTTTTTTCTTAGAATTATTCACAACATATATAAATCGACTCAGTTTTTGCCGTACACATAACAATCGGATGCGAACCCGATGTTTCCTCATTTATTTTAGTTTTTGCTAATGATAAAGAGCAATTCTTGTCATTTTTTTAGATTCTGACTTTAACAGTAGTTGTAAAACAAAAGAATAGATATCTATTACTAATTCAAATATCTTCTATTCGTTCTTTTCTTTTTTAATATGACTTAAAGTAACTCGAAAACGTTATCCATCTTTGATATTATCATAATCATTTTAATAATTGCTTTACGTTTATTTTACAGGCGTGTATCAATACGATTGAAAGAAGATGAATGTGTTGGCTTGCGCTATGTGTATATGTGTGTCTTTTCATGCGGATACGAATATATAGCTATATAATACAACGAGAAAATGACTCCTAATTAAAACTAAAGCGAGTCACGCTCTATCGCCAACTACTATGATCAACGCTCTCACATTCATAAGTATTAGTTTTAATCTTATGACACTAATATTAATCGGCACACATGAAAAAAATTGTTCTTCAAAACAGTAAGAAATATATAGTATATACCGATAGAGATGTAGAGAATATTTTCTATCTCCATTTTGTATAGTAACTTCATGCAGAGAATTTCCGCGCGCGGCAGAGAGAGAGGGAGAGGGAGAGGGAGGGAGAGAGAGACGCATATATTCAGGAGTAAATATAATGTAGATTTAACTTCTGATATAATTGTTATAACGTCTAATTTCTTGTGCAAGAGTCTGACAAAAATACTACTATAGACTTTACATTGATATGTACATTAGAGTAGACCTTCATCGATGACAACCTCATTCCACCTAACGATACATCGGAAAGCGTCTGATAGTAATCTCTTTTGCTTGTTTACCTATTTCTTTATTTTAGTTATAGATATGTAAACATTTATCATCACGATGAATACTACAATGACAAATTTCGATTATATTTCTAATAATCGTTTCGTTCAAATAGCTGCGCGAAGTGAAGAATTTATTTTACCATGTTTATTATTGATTGGAACTACATGTAATACATTAACATTTGTTGTTATGAGACGCGGTCGTATGCGGCATTCATCATCATGTTTCTATATGGCTGCATTGGCTATCGCCGATACATTTGTTCTATGGATTGGTTGTTTCAATCGTTGGTTAGAATTATTAGAAAAACAAAGACCAATTTTAGCTTGTAATATGTGTTGCAAATCTGGCACGTTTGCATTTTTTCTATTTGCAGATTGCAGGTAAGAAATAATTAGATTTCTTTCTTTGAAAACTATTTGCTCTCATTAAGAAGATCATTGAGTAGAGAACTAATTGTCCTATTACACATAGCTATTGTAATACCTATGAAACATTATCCTGAAAGAATCTTCAAGTGAGATTATGTCCTTACACTCGTGACAAGCTGAATCGGTAATCAACCGGAACTTCTATTAAAAAAGAGATAATTATCACAATGTTGCATCTTTGTAACAGGAAACATTTCTGATTCGTCAAGATTGAAAATCATACTTAAAAGCTCACGAAGTGTAAAACAAACACGGTGATAGGCTACTGAAAAAAATTATGTTTCTATACAAGTTACTTAAATATTTGCAAACATTTATTTTCTAGCGTATGGATAACAGTTGCAATGACATTCGAACGATACATAGCTGTTTCTCAACCGCTTCGTGCTAGCCAAATTTGCACTATAAAAAGAGCACGTTACATTCTTTTAAATATTTTTATGGTATTCTTTTTAATCAACGTACATTTTTTATGGACATTTCATTTATCATCAACCGAGTTTCATTGCATACCCTTGAATCAAGAGTCTGTGTTTCTAAAATATTTTACATGGTTTGATTCATTCAAATATTCATTTTGTCCGTTTACGTTATTAATAACATTGAATATATTAATTATAAAGAGTTTATTAAATGCTCGAAATAAAAATAAATTATTGGAACAACAAACAACAAGTACTTCTAATAATAATAATAATAATAATAATAACATAAATAGTAAAACATCTTCAATATCATCGTCGTCGACATCAACAACGAATAGTGGAAATGTATTAATAAAAAAACTTCAAAAAAAACAATACCAACATTTATCAACAAAAGCATTAGCATATCGACGTGTCAATCGTCGATTAACAACCATGCTATTAACTGTATCATTTGCATTTTGCATTTGTTCAATGCCTATATCAATCATGCAATTAATTGATGCCATCTATTCTGATATAGGACAACGTTCAAAGCAAATGAACATTGCTATTACTATAGGAAAAATCGTAGCCGAAATTTCTCAATATGTAAATCATTGTAAGTTTTCTTCATATTTAATTATCGAAAAATTGTTCTACTTCTTTTCTTTTAAATTTTAGCTTCGAACTTTTTTCTGTATGCTTTTACGGGCCGAATATTTCGCCATGAACTCTGGCGATTATTTACTTGTTCTCGCTATAGATTCTTTTCTACATCATCACAACGTTTAAGACATCGAGCAAAAAAAATGATGTCCTTTCATAATCCAACACAAGGTTTACATGAACACTTTTATTCGCATGGCCGATGTCATACAAAAATAGTTATTGCACCTAAACATTTGTTAAAAACGCCAGACAATGATCATTATCGAGAAAGTATTTCTAGTACTTATTCATTTTCGCATATGCCTGTAACAAAACAAAGTTTACAATATCAAAATGAGAAGTTTCTAACGTTACATCATCATCTACCAATTTCTAAACGTTCAATATCGGTAACACGGACGACATCAGTTATGCTACCGGATTCACCATCAGTATGCGTCCGACAAAGAACTGCGCTTGTTTCATTTGTTGAAAAAATAAAAGATGATCAAACAACACCTTTGTTTTGTTCATCAACTAAATTTCAAACTATTAAACCTTATGGCCTAACTGATACGACGCCGAGTTCAATGTAAAACATAATAAAGATTTATTCAGTTCTTTTGTTTATATATATATCAAACAGTAATTCTCAATGGTGTGCAATTTGAATTTTATCATAAATAAATAATATATATGTATTGATTTCTTTTATTATTTACGTTGTGTATTTCATGATCAACATATGCTATCACTGTAGAAGTGTTTGAAGAAGTGAGTGTCGCGTTAAGCACGCCTCTTCCCTAGTGACGTTCGCGTGCATCTAGTGCTTGACGACTATTGATGGCAAGAAAAAGCAAAGATTTTTATATTGTGATGATTTCTTCATGTCATATGTAATAAGCAAATAGGACAGTTCGATTGCAAAGCAAACTTTTTAAAGCTTTTGATAAAACAATCTTGATTCTGTAAGTTTCTATTCATTTTAAAGCCATCTAGTCAATATACTCAATAATCTTATCAGATATTATCTTGGCGTAGGCATTATTTCATTAATAAATAGAATGTTTGAAGGTTTCTTGCCTACATAGATCAAAATCGAAGAATTATTAAACATCAACATGATGAAAGCCATCATTATTTTCCTATTAATTTCGATTAAATGCAACCATTTATACGGATTAATTACTCTTTTCAATTGTACGTTCGATAATGGACTTGTTGATGATTGCAATTTTCCAGCAGTGCTTACCGTAGCCGACACCCTTGATATAGACATAGGCTACACATTAACTGATGGTAGCATCACTCCACCTGGTCGACCTCTATCCGATGCTTCATCTGTGTGTAAGCTAAATAGAATATTCTAGAAAAAACGAATACACTCACTTTCTTTATAATTCTAGTTTTGCCTACAGACAACGGAGAAACGTGTCTATTTCCGTACGAGTTAAATGGATGGGATATGCATTTTTGTCTATTTCAAGAAAATACAAATGATTCCACATGTCCTACAAAATCGGGAAATCAAACATGCGCTCGAGGTTATTTTTAAAAATATATATTAATCCGATTTTTTAAGATAATAGTTCGAAAAAATAGGTCTATATGGATATAAGACTACCGCGGATCCATTGGGTTTTCTTGATATTTACAGATCAGTTCAAACGATAATTGTTAATTCAACTGATGAAGAATTATGTCTTAGTTTTTACTACTATTTTACTAATAGTCTTCGAGAACCAAACATTACTATTGTGATGTCTGGACAATTAAATACATCGAACAGTGAAACTATTGTAAATGTAACAGCCAGTGGCGAAGATAGATGGTACTATAGCCAAACAACATTTATAGTACTACCAGATACATATCGTGTACGATAGAGCTAAACATTTCCGAATGATATTTTTATTGATAATTGTTTTTTAGCTCACGTTTTATTTCCGTCGAGCTCCAGACGTTAGTGATACAACTAACTTTACGTTCGCTCTTGATAATATATCAATAACAACTGGATCATGTTGTAAGTAAAAGAATTTTATTTCCTATTTAGATAAGAATGTTTCATTCTAGTTAATGCTGCCAATGGTAGTGCAACAACAGATGCCTTGGCATTTGTAAGTTTGATCCATTTATATGAGATGTGCCAATTGAATTGATTTTTACTCTCTTTTTACAGTTCTTATTCAGAAAAGACATTTGATAGTAAATTTAACGCTAAAGATAATAATACGTAGTCTAAAAGCACAGTTTTGAATGCGATAACTAATTTTTTCGTGTATACATTAATTAAAACTGTCCCGAAACTAGTATGGTAGTTCATTGAAGATCTAAAAGAGCTGCTCACAATGAATCGAATTCCGTGCTTAAATAATGATTGAATACCTCACTAGTTTGAATCCTTATTCAAAAATTGAAAAAGATCGTACTTCAACTGTATACAGCCATATCTTTGTGTCATATTGTTTGGCTAGGATAGTTTATTTTGTAGAGTGAAACAGTTACTGCATCGGCGATTTCGGAAACACACACAACAGAACGGTAATATTATCTGATTTCGAAAAAACTTTGAAAAAAAAAATTTTTTTTATAGACTTCCTACTACTCAAATGATTGAATCGATGGCCACTAGTTTGAAGAACGAAACAGTTGCTGCATCTACGATTTCGGAAACACACACAACAGAACGGTAATATTATCTGATTTCGAAAAACTTTAAAAAACAGTTTTTTTTATAGAGATACTACTGCTCAAATGATTGAATCGGTGGCCACTAGTTCGAAGAGTTCTACAACGGTGTCGATCCTGCCCACTTATACTACCTCCAAGACTTCAACTACTACAACTCCACTGAGGACAACTTTGACTACTCACTCAACCACTACTCATTCAATTCGAACAACAAATAGCACTATTGTAAATACTACTGGACTAAAATATTATTTTATTAATGAAGGAAAATTTTCACAATTAGTTTCAAACATTCTGACCTAGACAGTAGGAGTTAAATAGCTTCGATTAGAAAGCTCAGAAGAAAGAAACAAACAAGAGAACTCGATCAGATCGTCTCACCTGTGATAGAACTGAATTTGTTCACTTAAAAAAAAAGACATTTTTCAATTCCTCATGAACATTTCCGTTTGATATTAGGAGCTAACATCTGATGATGATCAATCTATTGTAGGCAAAAACAACGACAACTAATAACCCGACAAATATTCCTCCTAGAACTAGTTCTTCCACCACTCGTTCGCAAATGACTACTTCTTCCACCACTCGTTCTCAAATGACTACTTCTTCCACCACTCGTTCTATTACAACAACATCCAAGACTTCAAGCAGTAGATCAACATGTAAGAAAATTCTTTTTACGAATAATATTTTTTTCTAAACTTGACTCTCATACTTAATATAACATTATATTTAGGGATTCCATCATTGATTTCCATCATCACTGTTTTGGTCTATACTTTAAAATTCACAATTTAATTATTGAAATCAAAACAAAATCCTTCAAATCAACCTTTTTGAAAAGATTTCTGACAGTTCTATTGAATACAGTCATTTTTTTTGTTTTTCTATATCTATAAGACTTTCTATCAGCTTATAATCATTGATAATTTCAATATGAAGAGTTAATTTTTAAATCAACAAGAAAACCAATCGATTATCCATATAAACATTAGTATTTACGGTGAAAATGAAAATCAATCAATTGTAAAATATAATTAGAGGTATAAGCCGGCGCTTCGGTTGGCGGCGGCTCAAAATCTTTGGACGCTGTTTTAAAAAATTTTCGTAGTTTCGAGAATTATGTAACAAAAAAGGGAAAAATGATAATATAGAACGTTCTTATTAACACCTGGATCAGTAGAATCCAAAATACTGCTTCTGAGTATCGAAAATATTCAAAAATTTAGTATTTCTGCTTATATGACGGTAGCGGCGGCTCAGCCGCTCGGCTTATATTTCTACATATAATCATTTCTACACCGGCGTAGATTTAGTTTTAAATCAAGACCATGTCGGTACTGTTACTTAGAGTTTGGGTGTAGTGTGAAGGGATGATCAACGCCTACACTCTCAAGATATCAAGGAAATCAAACAGTACAGATTTATGGAATAACTTTCCTCAATGTTACAAAACCATTTGAGTGTATATACGATGGTTAAATGATCACGATGCACTTCGCTTCCCTTTTCTATCAGTACATTTTTCTGTTATCAGGCTGGTGAACTCGACGGCTATTCTTCCTTTGTTTGAACATCATATTAGAGCGTATTCAAAGTTAAGAATTCGTTTCATAAACAAATTCATTCAATTGAAATTGAAAGATAACTACGGTTGAACTTAGACGAAAATTAAGTTCTGATGATTCATCAGAAGCAAAAGCAAAGAAATTTCACAGTAAGATCTTCGCCTGGTAAATATAAAGTTATTTCTATGTTTTATTGCAATAGATGAGTTCGATCAATCCATCACTTATTTTGAAGATCTACCAAATGAAGTATTATGTGAAATATTTGATTATCGCCATCAATATTGTTTATGTGAAGAATTTTCAAACCTGAATTCTCGATTAGAACAACTTCTGCATTGTCCGTGTGTATTATCGAAACATTGTTTTTATTTATTTCAACATGACGGAGGTTTCAACACGTTTAAACAATTTATTTTTTTTCAATCGACATCAAATATTTTCTATACATGTAGATTTTGTATTTCAAGATTGTTACTTTTTTTGTCGTTTCTATTTGATTCATCATTCGTTCGCTTTGAATCTATCTTTTTAAAGGCATTCAATCCGATAAACTTCTCTCGGTTCTCAATAAATTATCTTCTTTACCAAAAAAGAACAAGTCCATGATATCTATCGATTGATATTTCTCTTACCTAAATTGAAATATTATCGAATTTCCTTTTCTGGTGAATGCCATTCAATTACACTTCCTATGGCTATAAATAACCAAATCAGTCCTATTGAATATCTTGTTATTGGCCATTGTTGTTCTTTGAACGAACTTTCATCTCTAATTTCTTATACTCCGCAACTTCGTCAGTTAACTCTTCATAAAACAAAACGAAATGATTCAAACAATACAATATTATCATCAATTACATTAATTAGTCTTAGCTCGATTTATTTGGATTTATGTGAAACATCATTTAACGAAGTAGAAATGTTCATTACAAAAATATCTTCAAATTTAAAAAGTTTGTATGCTTTTTTATCAGTCGATCAGCGTTGGGAGCAATTAATTTTAAATTATTTTCCTCAGCTAGAAAAATTCTATCTAATGTACGCTGATCATATCGATAATGAACAAAATTATTCAATATATACTGAACAAATTGCTCAATTGTTTTCATCTTTTTGGATGGAACGACAATGGATATTAGAAACTGAACTTTGCGATACAGATATCGAATATATAATTCGCCTATACAGGTATATAGAAAAATAATTTCAATGTCCAATGAATAATTTTTTTTCTTATAGGAAAAGATGGGTTGATGATGCAAAAGATGATATTGTTAATTGTTCTTTGGAACATTCTACATTTATGAATTTGACATTCGGATATGTTATTCATTCTATATACGAGCGAATAGTGTCCAAACAAATTGAATGTACTTTAGTAATAACAGCAATTTATCATTTGGAAATTCTAGAAAATATACCTCAATTTCTGCATTAGTTCAAACGATCAAACTACTACCAGAGTTAGTTACATTAAAAATTCATTCATTATCAATAGACGCAGCAATAGAATTAACTGTTAGCGAACTTCTAATTTTGTGTTCAATGAAACAGAAAAGTAAAATTACTAAAGTCTATCTTGAAGAGATTCGTGATGTTCAAGAAGTTGATTTTATTTTTACATTTTGTCCTTATATGGAATATTTCAAAATCGGATACATAAATACCAAGGGTCGTCAATCATTTTTACGTACTATTTTCAAGACTATTGATCACAATGATCATCACCATTTTCGTTCATTACGTATTCAGATTTCAACAACAGATGATCAAATTAGGAGCGTGAAGTTACTATTATTAATACCAAAATGATAACAAATAACTATTTTTTTGAAGAATCCTCAACTTGAATTACTGTCTACCTCAATGATGTTAATTCTGTTAGGCTCCTCGGCCGAGCAGCCCGGCCTGGAAACGCCTGGTTCCGGTTATTTCCGACCAATTCTTGTCGGAAAGGACCAGAACTTTGAGGGAGTCCGACCGTAGTTTTGACCGGAATACTGCTTCCATGTTCCAGCGATTTCTCGTGTTTTCTTGCAGGATATGGTGACTTTCCCGCATATTCTCTGGAGTATCCTACGGGATCCGGTGACCGAAATGTTCGACCTTTCCACACGTTTCTCACTGTTGAAAACAATAGAAGCTGACTGGCTTCTCAGGAAACTTTCACGATTCGAATCCATTGAACGCTACTTGATGCGATAATGTAACTGAAGTTAAGTAAACTGTTCGAACAAAGGAAGAATTTTCATTTTCAGATGCTCAATAAATATTTCTGCCAACTATTGATCGTAATTTAGAAGCGTATGGCGCTTGTATATAGACCAATGCGTATTTTTAAAGATCACGATTGTTATAGTAAAGGAATAAGGGTGTGGGCGTATGTCTTTCTTCCCCCATACCAACCCACACCCTAGACATCAATTCAAGTTGAGGGTTCTTCAAAAAAAGAAGTTATTTGTTACTATTTTGCTATTTTAATAACAATAACAGAATAGTCATTGTTCTTGGTATTAATAACAACAAAATAACAATAACTTCTCACTCCTAGATCAAATAATTGAAAACATGGAAGAAATGATCAACTATGAAAAACTTCTTCCTCGTTTTACATTTGAGCGTATACTAAATACTGTCTATTTAAAATGCAAGTAACTCGAGCATGTGCATGTTTTTCCTGTAAAATTCATCTAATAAATAAAATGCATACCATAAAAAAATACTGAAGACCTCATGGGCCCTCGTGAATATTAATAAATCACATTAGATTTAAATGAGATCTAAACTGTTTTGATTCACCAAAATAGTTCATCATATGGCAATTTATTCATTCTTCTTTGTTGGCATATAAATGCAAAACTTCATATAGATACTCATGCTCTTTGTTTTATTGACGTACACAAGCACACACACACACCGCTGCTCCAGGTGAAAAAGAAATGATAACATGAGTTTAGTCGTGTATAAATAACAACATACGACCAGACAAGCACATCTGCTCTTCTTTATTCAACATGCTGTGTATTTACATTCTGATCATTGCTGGCGTTGGAGCAAATGTTATCTCTGGATTGCCCAGTGCTCCATACGATATTCGAGTTGATCACTATAAAGTTGATACAACAAAAGATTTAGTGATCAATACTGAACGTCCTCGATTTTCATGGAAATTATCAATATCAGAACAAGAACGAAATGTGCAACAGGTAGCCTATCAATTAGAAATTAAATCACATATAATTCGATGGGATAGCAAACAAGTGATATCAAATCAATCAATTCATGTATCCTGCATAGGACTCAACGATCTTCAGCCAGCCAGTTTTTATCAATTTCGTCTACGCGTTTGGACAACACAATCGAATCAAGCTAGCTCATGGACACGTTGGATTTGTTTTCGAACAGCAATATTTAACATTCCTTCATACATCAAGAGTAAAAATGACAGTTTAATGTGGATTGGCTCAAATCAAATCACTATGAATGAATTGCGCAAAGAATTTCAAGTATCGAATAGCAGTCCGATTCACTCGGCCATAGTTTATTTGTCCGGTCTTGGCTATTATGAATTGTATGTTAATGGAGATAAAATTGATTTGAGTCGAAAGTTAGATCCGGGTTGGACAGTATATGAAAAACGTACATTAATGGTTTCTTTTGATCTATTATCAACTATCAAAGTTGTACCAATTCACTTTCCATTTGATAAATTGATTGTCTGTCAAATTTAGTCTGGTATGAATGCAGTAGGTGTCCGATTGGGTAATGGTTGGTACAATCAAGAACAATATACACCACCTGTAGCACAGAAACCAAACTACGGTAACTTGAATTTTCATGAAAACGGAAAAATAAATGACGCCTAATTCTACTAAAATTTAGTTTATTTAAATAATATCATACTATGTACTACTCATGTGTTTAGCTTGAACTTATTTTTTTCGGATTCTTTTCAGGTCCTCCTCGTTTTATCTTCTTCTTGCAAATTATTTTCGAAAATGGTAACGAAATGCAAGTCTACAGTGATCCAACATGGGTAGGCCGTCAAAACGCCATTCTACACGATAGTATTTACAATGGTGAATTCGTTGATTGTCGTTATGATCGTCCAAACTGGGCCGATGCAGGATTTAATGATTCACTATCGTTGTGGATACCAGCGGAACCGATGCTATCGCCAGTCAACGAAACATTACACGGACGAATTGTGATGCAAGATATGCCTCCGATTCGTGCTGGACCTGGCGCATTGCATTTTGAAGTGACGAATAGACCTATCGGTGAATATTTGTCCCCGAATGATATTCATGAAATACAAGGTGCTCTGTTAACAGAAACTGGAATACTTAAACCGATTGCTACATGGTCACCAACAATAGGTCAGTCGATCATAGAAAAAAAACATTATATCTATCATCTTATTGTGTGTTCTAGGCGTTCAAGTATTCGACGTAGGCCAAAATATAGCTGGATGGTGCCGATTCACAGTTCGAGGTGCACGAGGTGTAGGGATTTATATACGTCATGGAGAAGTTTTGACTCAACCAACTGTGCCGACGAAGTAAGCAATCATTTGTATGCCCTGTGCACATGATCATAATTCGTTTATTATGATTCACGTAGTCAATCATATAATGAAGTCTATACTGAAAATCTGCTTGGCGCCACACAGTCTGACACTTACGTTCTACGTGGAGATCCCGCTGGGGAAACGTATGAACCAATGTAAGTTAATGTTTCTTAGATCGTTCAATTTCGTTATTTTTTCCTTCGCATTATAGTTTTACCTATCACGGTTTTCGATATGTTTCGATTCTAAATTTACCAAATCCGATGACTCTTGACGATGTTGAATGTCTTGTTGTTCATAGTGAAACAACTTTGAAAGGTCATTTTATCTCAAGTAATCCAATCATCAACCAGATTCAACACAATATACAATGGAGTCAACTGAATAATCTCATGTCATTGCCTACAGATTGGTAAGATTATCAATATGTCTGTTTTCGATTCATTTTATTTATTTTCTATCTAGTCCACAAAGACAAGAACGAAAAGGTTGGATGGGTGATGCTGCATTAACAGTGAATGAGGCGTTATATAATTTTGATTTAATCAAATTATATTTGAATTTTCTAAATTCGATTGTTGATAGTCAGGGAACTGATGGAGCTGTACCGGACACTGTACCATTCAGTGATGGTGACTATCCGTCAGATCCTAATTGGGGTACTGCTCTGCCGACAATTGCCTGGCAACTCTATCGTCACTATATGGATGATCAAGTACTCTCCGTTTTCTATTCAAACATTCGTGCTTATGTAGAAAGTGTACGTCGCGGTTACCAATCGACAGGCTTAGCAAACCTTTTCTATTCTTATGGTGATTGGGTTCCACCTCCACCTCAACCAAGATCAAATAGCTCTCTTGTTTCATCATTTGCATTTATGCATGATATTTCATTGATGATCAATATATCACAAATACTCGGTTATCACAATGATACAGAGGCCTATTCAAAATTCTATCAGCAATTAGCCAACGAATTTCATCAAGTTTTCTTCAATCATACATCTTATTTTTATGCTGATGGCATGCAAACAGCACAAATACTTGCTTTGACTCTTCCAAATGTGGTGCCAGATAATGTTCGTAAATCTGTATTTGAATATTTAGTATCAGATATTGAACGAAAAGGTAATCATGTCTCGACAGGAATTATTGGTACAGCTCAACTCTTTCCGCTTCTTTCTGACAATGGATATCATGATCTAGCACTTGAATTGGTTACGTCGACTACTTATCCATCCTACGGTTATATGTTCAATAATCCATACGAGAATGCTACTACATTATGGGAACTTTGGGATGTACCATTCGAAGGGCCGGGTATGAATTCACGCAATCATATTATGTTTGGAAGTGTTGGTGCTTGGTTTTATTCCCATTTGGCCGGCATCGATTTAACTTTGGACTCTACTATTATTATTTGGCCACGTATGGCATCAGAAAGTAAAAAGCATCTCTTACTCAAACTTGATTGTCAATTGAATACTTTGTATGGGCTTGTTCATGTGGCATATAATCGTGATGTACACGACACAGCAGCCAATTCAATTCAACTTCGTCTAACCGTTCCGCCCAATGCTAAAGCTCGAATCATATTTGAGCCTTTGTTTTCCGGTGCTCGATGTGTCAAATTAATGGAAGGAGATAAATTGATATGGTCGGTTGATCCAGAATATACTACTGAAAAATATCCAATAGAAAGGCAAATTGATCGTGGTCTAATGATCGTTCACGTTGGCTCTGGCCAGTATGAATATCAAGCCTATTGGGAATAGACTATGAAGGCAATAATTTTGTTGAAGTTGACTTCTTGCTCATTTTCATTTACCTTGATAATCTTTGAGAAATAAATATATTCATCTCAACAAATTGAATTCATCGAATTCTATACACCGAAAAATCCATATTAGAAATTAGTTGAGTGTGAGTGAGCTGGTACAGAAAGAATACCCGCCCACCCATACCTAATATGTATGCATATCATTTTCTTGTAACATAACCACATTCTTGTTTAGAAATATGCCATGATACGGATCACTACATCAGTAGAACTACTAATATTAGTTTTTCGTGTAAATTTTATGTTTTTCATAAAGAAAAAAACAATATGTATGTAATTTAGCAAACAGTTTTAAGAAACAATGATTTTTATAAATGTTCGGGCAAGATTTCAAGTACTTTCCGAGCCCTTTCAGCGATTATTCGTTTTGAATCGGACCTTGTCGGGAATAAATGATGAATGGTAGTTCGAATATCTGATTGAAATGTGGATGGATCGCTTTGATATGTTGACGAATATTTGTTGCTTTTTAACACCTGTCCTGCCGAACATATTCCTTCGAAATTATATCCATTGCAATTAAGAAACGTCTTCAATTGTTCCGGATTTTCTTGTGCCATTATCATTGATCCAGAAGAATCATTCTGACAATTGAATCCCTTGTATTGCGATCCGATGATATCTTACTGTCAGATCCGATGGAATTCATCTCAGGGCTTTAGCTGACTCATAGTGTTGGCTCCAGATACTAAGTACTGTCCAAATAATAAAATATGAATTTCTCATCAGAACCGTTAATAATTCCTCAGCTCGGAATCCTATCGTACTGCATCGATTCTTTGTATCTTGTAAGGTCCTATCGGATTCATTTCACCTGTGGAGATTGTTCGACACCCTACAATCCTTGAATGCTCATTGTTGTCTCCAAACTGACTCATTTTAATAGTCAACTGTGTTGCTAGCGCATCAAGTAGTAATTGATCATGTGAAACTTGCATGATATGCACTTGATTTGTCAAATTGTTGATTTCATTTTCCGGTTTTCTAAGAATATTCAATATATTATTGAAAACTTCTCGAATGCTTTGACATGCTTCATTTAGTTGTGTGGCTTCTTCTTCATCTATAATTTTCCATAATTCATCTATTGATTCATTCAGCTTGTCTTGCGTATTTTGTTGAACATCACCCAATGAAAACTCCCCTACCAGTGTCCGCTGCTAGCGATTATGTGAATTTGTTGGAGTTCTTGAATCGTGCTATTGATTGATGGTAAACCACGAACTAGCTTTTCTAATATATTGTATACTATAACTTATGTTTCACTTGATACGGATAGTCCTGAAACAAAATGAGCAAGATGATGCAACTTACTCAACACACCTGAGAAAAAGAACAGAACGTGCCGCAATAACATTATTGAACACGAACGAAACTCAGAAAAATTTAAAATACTTGCAGATTTTATCTTTGGCTTCAAATTAGATTCTTAACTAATCAAATGGAAAGAGGCCTACATCTATAATATATTTTTTGCCAAAGGCCATCGCTAAATAACTGTCGAGACTCAAACTAAAAAATGCAAAGGCCAGGAAGAACATTGATGGCTTGTGCGAGAAAAAGGCCATGATATTTTCATGGGCATTTCTTTAACATAATGTTCATATATTCGTAGGAATATATTGATTGATGCGGATATTGTTTATCCCAAATTTCTTTTAGAATTAATGTTTCTATTTAGTATTTTTATCTTTTTTTCTGCTTCATGCATTTTTTTGTTCTGGCAAGTAAACGAAAAATCAATATATCACCCTCATTCAATGAAATATTGATTATTCATTAGGTGATGTTTGCCTATTGGACGTCATTATTTGCTATAGCATCTAAATCAAAATTCAATTATACGCAAAGAAGACAATGGATCAATAAAATTTTACTCTTGAACGAGTTTTAAAATATTTTATTTTCATCTGTTTTTACAGAAGAGAAAATAAATAACCTTGAAAACTAATATGCCTGGTGATATTTCTCGTCCTTATTTTATTTCTTTCATGTTTCAAATATCAATATGTTAGATTTCTTCGACGAATTAATTATTTAACCATATATAAATTTGCGCTTTGATAAAAAAAAGCAGACCATATTACTCTGATGTGGGGGCTGTTTCATCGATATATGTCAGAACAATGAAAGACCGATCAGCTATGGAATTGACTGCAAGAAGTTGCATTTTGATTTCACTGATAAATTCTTATCGTTGTTATGGAGTACTTTAGAAATGGTGGCAATTTTAAAGAAATTACCAAGAAAGGTAATATCGCTTCGCTTTTTGTGTTTGTAAATATTTGATTGTTTTAATTACCAATAGAAGAAATACAGCACTGACATATAGTATGTAATTGTTTTAAAAGTATTTTTCAGTATGTGCAGATATTAGGACTTCCTTCATCATTGCTCATCAGGCAATTAGATAAGAAAATATTTATTGAAAATAAAAGTAAATACATCGATGAAAAGAAACAAATAAATGATTCAAGTTTACGATCATGTTTTTCATTCGTATTTGATATGTCGTCAATGTCGAATTCTTTGCAGTTTGTTTCTGTAGTTTGTTTCATTATCAGATGGTGATATTGATCAAAAGCAACTTCACCATATGATACTAGCTATTGTGAGTTTTGATAGTTTTATGTATTTCTCAATAATATCTATTTGATTAATATTGATAGAAAATGTGTTTTGCTATATTTCATATTAATGGTGATAGGAAACTCAGTAAAGAAGAATTGTGTTAATGAGTCTATTTTTGTGTACTCAAAAAGTGAGTACACTCTAGAATCGGCCAGTGTGTCCGGCCGTAGGCACGATAACTTTTGAAAGGAGAGTCAGATCGTGATGAAATTTTCCACACAGTTCAATCTCATGAATATCTCGGTCGAGTTCGAAGATGAGAAGGATCCGTCAAGAAATGGCTGAGTTATCGAAAAAATTGTCATTTTTGATCAGACCATCCCTGAGGGGGAGTACAGGGATTTTTCAAAAAAACTTCTTTTTTCTCAGAATTATCCACAACATATATAAATCGACTCAGTTTATAACGCTGATTCTGAATCTGATATTAATTTTGAACTAAATCGTAGCTTTCTAACGAAACATCGCCTGAAAACGTCTCAAAATGCACAAAAACTGCATCCAGAAATCAAATTGCCTAGTTTCTCATGATACTTTTGGTGTTCAAACATTCTAGAATGACTTACATTCCCATGCACTTTTTGCAGTACACATAACTCTCGGATGAAATCCGAAGTTTACACATTTATTAATAATTGAAATCTAAATATTTGCACTCTGACAATATCTACTAGCTTTTAAACGTAAAAATGATTCAGTTATTGATAATCTATTTCCTTCGAATGTGTAACTTTGTTTTCCGACAAATTCATTTTTTTCAGCTCTTAGCGAGTTCAAATAAAGCTCTGCATACTTTTAATTATTTAGGTTACAGAATGACAATAACTTGAAGCACCAATTAATGTCAACTGGAACTATATCGTTATGACAAATTCTATTGCTATTTTCGTTTCATTCTCTATCGATTTTTGGTGCTTGGTCAATATACTCAAAAATATTAGAATATATTTTATCGGTATTTTCAACTAAATCTTACCTCTCAAGTTCATGTAACGTCAATCGAACAAGTCTCAATGCCTGATTGCACAATTAAGGAAATTACTGAACATGAAATGTTCAATCGTTCGTTGAATATTTATTATGGCATATGCAGGAAAAGAAAAATATAACAATAATTCGATCGTTTATACATAAATTGAATAAATTCATGCATACGTTTTGGTACGACATGTGGACGCGTCTTCCATCTTTTGATGACTAAAATAATCATTGATAAACTGTGATTGAGTCCATCGGTAATAGACCACTGGAAAAATGTGTTAATTCATGAATTTGCACATTATTCTAACTACTATTTCAATATATAGGCTTCAATCACTCATTGCCAATAATGCATAATAACCAGATTTTATTTCCATAATTTTATTAGTAACTTTTAATGAAAAAAGTTGATTATGAGACAACACACAAAGAGCATCATAAATTTAATCTGTTTCGCGGAGACATAATTTACTGTAACCTCATTTGTCGATAATATGAATCAAATGCAGCTCAGTGAGACTAATATTATTTCGGATGCACCAGTAATAGTAAGAAATATCCCTAAGCAAGAGAAGATGCGAAGTGTATCGTAACAGAATAAAACTCCTACTTATATTCACTTTTTAAGTGTATGACAATAGTTGTTTCTTAATAGTTACTGATGCACTGCTTTTTATCTATATCTAAAGGACAATATTTATCTGCTTTAGACTAAAAGGAACATTTGTTGAAAAATAATTTTTTTCTTACTCGAACTCTCAATCAACATAAAAAAAAGTATCTTTTCTTCTATGCATAGATATTTATTAGAACAATTTATTTAGCTATGGGCAATACACACTGCTCTTACACTTCAGTTGGGTCAAGTTCCAGTACGTCATGCGTTTCATACCCGATGGATAGTATAAAACTGAGCACTGGTGCCATTGTTGGTATCGCTATTGGTTGTGTTGCAGCTGGCGTTCTCATGATCATAACCATTATTTTTTTTATTCACTGTTTGAGAAGAAACAACAGATAGATGGCATATTCCAACTCATACCTATACTCTTACGTACAATCAACAGCAACACTTCACCGTTATATACTGAACTAGCAGCACATGAAAATCAAAATAAATCATTATCAGCGTTTATTGAATGTAAATAATGAGAGAAGAGAAAATAAAATGTATTCTTTCATGTTATAATCACATTGAAAAACATTCCGTTAGAAATCAATCATCGGGATATATTCGCACTATAGAAAGCTTAATGAATATTGTTCGATAAACAAAAAACTGCTGCACTTATCTTCTCTTACAACGTCAAACAAATGCGGTCTTATTCTGCAGTTTTTCTGATCTTGGTTGGGCGTGAGTGTTGGTGAATACTTGATGGAAACTGACCTCACAGTACATACAACGAATGAGTCAAAAAGAAAAAATATGCGCAGGTAAGTAATCTTTGCGATGCTAGCTGAATATAGTTGATTTCATATTGTGAAAGCCTTTTCTTTCGGTTGCACTGATCTGATGCACAGGGTCGTATAAATTCGCCATAATTTATTCTCATCTGCTATCTAAATGACTATGAAACAAATACGACCTTAGTCGTGGTTTATATTGTGAAAATTCGACAAAATAATTATGCGGACGAATTTGTAGCAATTTGAGAGTACATAATTTGGTTTTAGTACGGGAGACGAGATTTATTGCAGATTCCATTTATTTGCAATGATGGTGTTCATTTCACAACGTTGAATTGCATCTTCGAACAGGAAAGGTTGTAACTGAATCAAATACTACTTAGATTGTATAATAAGAACAATAGAGCTAGTCACGCCGACAGAACGTAAAATGTTTTAAAATAATAAAGATCTATGTAAGCTAGTAAAATTTGTTTTCTTGATATCTAGAAAACAAATGAGTAAGTGTTCTAGAAAGAAATGCCATTGAGAATTAATGAAAGAAGGTATAATTTCACAGCATGAAATCAACTATATTCAGCTCACAACGGAAAGATGACTTGAGGGTGTGCGCATAAAAGTCGATTAATTAGATTTGAAGCAGAATAGGACGCTTTTCGTCCTTGCTAAACGAGCTCATTGGATATCTTGAATATTCACTATTTTGTTATTCAAACAATAAAGTTATTAACTTAAACCTTAATACTTTGATATATCGAATGATTTGTAATGACAGATAAGTTGTAATTTTAGAATTAGTGGGTTACAAGAACATAGATTGAAAACATGATGGATTGGTTCTATAGTTTTTCATTCTCGGAAAATGTTTTCATAGGATGCTGTTGGACGCTGAGATATTGCACTTGTTCGGTACGTTTTGGAAGTTTAACTGTCAGGCTTATTGTGGCTCGAAATACTATTATATTGTCGATGGACTAAAATATTTTCTGTATTTTCGATGTTATCGTCAGATGGAAACAAAAAGGTTTTTTCCTTGACATTTCGCCAATGATTGACGACAACTTTCATGACCCTTACGTGAAGGTTGAAAGTAATTGTATATGTAGCACCGGTTTTTTTTCATTTCAATTTTATTTTTGGAATAAATTTTCTCGTTAAACGAATTAATTATAGACTTCATAAGTTGCCAGAAGTATGGTAGTAGTATGTTCAGCGTTGAGAGAAGGTTGCTGATTGTTAGATCGTTTTCCATTTTTCTAAATAGTTCCTTTTGAGGTTTCTTTCTATACCTGCTCGCCTGCACATACCCTCAAGAAATGGTTGCATCTACGTATGTCAAAAGTAACTGGATTGGGAATAAGTAAAAGAGATTCTTCAAGTCATTTTAGTTCATCCGATTGGCATGACTGTTTGAAACTACAATTTTATTTGGGAGTTGTTTTTTTATTTAGAGTCTAGATCTGATAATGCGATTTTAAATTTTTCTGAGGAAGATGACCACCAAACACCTATCGATATTATTATTGATTGACAAGAAAAAATGATCCAAAGACTTGGAAAGTTTCAATGAATTAAAATGAAATAATATAATGTTTCAGAAAGAAAGATTTATTTACTAATCAAACAAAGTTAAGATTCCTAAGAAAATATCAACTTGCGCTCACTATTTTCTTCGAAAACATGCGTGAGTTTCACAAAAAGGAGAACATTTTTATAGAAAAATTTTGTTCTTATTTGGTTAATATCTAATGTTAGAAAATTATATTCCTGCATATAATAATGGAGAAAACAAAACGAAATGAATAGGATCAATAATAAACATAATCAAAGAAGAGAAGATTGCCAAATTAAATTTGTTGTTGTTGCTCAGGTGCAGATAAGTCTTGTTTAGAAAAGGAGAGAACTCCCATTTGTAATTGATGCTTTGTTAATTTTTGTTGACGTTCTTGTCGTCTTTTTAATATCGGTATGGCAAATAATATCAAGCCACTTAACAAAATGGAACCACCAAATATTAAATAAGGCCAAAGATAAGGTCGAGCAAGGTCTGAAAGATTATCACGCATTGAACCTTTAATAATAAAAGAATAAAAATAAATAATTAAAAAAAAAAAACTATTTTACCAACAACAGGTGTCCCAATTGCAACGGCAATACCTTGAAATAATAAAAGAACACCAAAAGCATCTGATAATTTATCAACACCAACCAAATCAACAATAATAATCGATGTTAAACCAACATAACCACCAGAAAAAAATCCAAATAATGATGCATAAATCATATGAGTTGCAACAGATGAGTTGCAAAATGGTGCAAACATTGTTGATATACCAGCGATTATTAATGTTGTATTATATAACGTTAAACGATTTACCTAAAAATTAATAGTTATCTATCTATTTTAATTTCTTAAATTCTTGTACCCAAGATCGATCAGCTAGATAACCAATAATAACCCTGCCAAGACAATTCGATACTCCAATTGACATTATAATCCAATGTCTTTTATGTTGCACAACGTTTGCGTCGCCAGCTAAATCATTTGCAAAATTATATGGAACATTAAAGCCAAGACTTGTTAAAAAATTTGATATTGCAAATAAAGCAAATGAAAAATCTTTCAATAAATTAAGATCAATTTGTTCAGCTATTTTTCCAAAAAATGATTTTTTCGTTTCTATTTCATTTACGTTCAACATTTGACGATGATATTCATCCTGATCTTCATTATATAATGGAATATTATGTAAGCTACCTTGATAAACAGCATCTTTTCGAGGTAAAACTATTTCCTCATCATCTTCTTTTGAAACGATTTTATCTAATTGAGATTCTTCATTTATATCAATATCATCAACATTTAATTGTTCTAATGGAATATCACTAAAAACAAAAATTATTCTAAGATTAGATTGTAATTATATTAGAAAAATACCCTTTTTCATTATTTTGAATTAATTTATTTTGTTGTTCCTTATTTTCATTCATTCGAGTTATTTCTTTTTGTGTTTGTCGTTTTGCTTCGCTTCGTGCTTTACGTGCTAAACGTCTTACTTCACTTGGTTCTTGTGGCAACGGAATCTAAATAGTTGCAATTTTAATTCGTTTTCTTTTTTCAGGATAATATAAATACCATAAAAGCTCCAAAAATAACACAAATAAAGACTATAGCTGCTTCAAGAAGAAGAGCTCCTTCATAATCAAACCATAAAGGCGCACTAATAATATAAGGCATAATAGCTGGAAATGCTAATGTGCCCAAACCTGAACCACAAACAGCAATACCCATTGCAAATGAACGTTTACGTTCAAAATAAAATCCAACTGAAACAATGGCAGGCAAATAAATTAAGCCAAAACCAATTCCTATTGGAATATAAATAATTGAGAAACATATTTTCTAATAATAAATATTTACCTCCAATAATACCAATAGAAAGATAATAAAACCAAATATTTGCCCATAAATAGCTGATTAAGAATCCAAAAGCAGCTAAACAAGATCCAACTATGGTTACTTTTCGGCATCCATATGTATTTGTAAATATTGTTGCAATTGGTCCTTTAGATGTTATATCAAATTAGATTATTGAATTTAAAAAAATGAATTTATTAACCTGTTGCAAGTGTTATTGCTGGTAAAATCCCAAATATAGTTGAAACAGGTCCTCTTGTTTTATTTAAATTATCCATCATTGGACGTAAAAAAACATCACCCATGGAATATGTTATTCTATTCAATTCATTGAAAACAAGATAATAAAATTATTTAGATACAAAATAAATGAAACAAACCCGTCCATTATAAAATGTATCATAAAAGACGAAAGAACAATAATCCATCCCCAACCACCATCAGGAACATTAGATCCACTAGCACCAGTATTCTTATTTTGAGTACCGCTGGTCATTTTTTAATTTTTGATTCTAAAACAGAATAAGAATAATACAATAGAGAAGACAGCTGCGATTCTCATTATAGATCAAATATGTTACTCCATTCTTTTTTTTCTAAGAGTAACATAAAAAAGGAAAAAGGCTAGATAAGAACTATTCGTTCTCTTTATAAGAAAAAAAAGAATATAAAAATTGAAACATTTTTATCTTTATCAAATAATAGAACATATTTTCACGTATTAAGCCTTTTTAATCTTTGATCTTATGAATCAAAGTAAAACAGTCAACAGCATATTTATTAAATAAAAATTTTATATTATTTTTTCTCATCTTGACTGAGAATAAACATTATTTAAATTTTTCTCGTAATTGATGCCAACGTTGAACAATTGATGTCAATGATTCCCACATTAATTTAGAACCATATTTAACATAAAAGCTATTAAAATAAAAAAGCTATTATCCTCTTCCCCTCTTTTTTTGTTATTATTCTCTTACATTCCAAAGAAAACTCCACCTAAATGTGCTGAATGATCAAGATAACGCCATCGCATTATTGTACCGACTATATCAAAAGATACCATTGATATTAGACCCTAAAATAGTTTCATTCTATTGAATAGTATTTTTTTTTGAAATTTTTCTTACCGTTTTAGCGGAAAAAGTTAAAAAAGGAAGAAATATAATTGCTAATTCTGCATCAGGATATTGCGTACAAATAACACCTAATATCGTCATTATTGAACCAGACTAGAAATATAAAATAATTATTTTTTTTAATTAGGAATGTTATTACAGTTTTTTATATTCTTATGCTTAAACTCTTTGGTCAAAAGATAGTTTTATTAATGCTATGCTTCGCATCGCATTTCTGTAGTCCGTCGCGTACGCATCCAAATTCAGTATTCTTGCGACGCGATGATCTCAAGAACAGAATTTCGTCTGATGCTCGTTGAAACGGTGCTAGTAACATTAAAATCTCTATATCATACAAATTTTGTCCGATTTCTCCGGTCGAATTCGGTTTGGGCAAAGTAAAATATGGGTCGCATATCTCAGTTAGTCGACGCGATGTAGTGAGACTTGGCCTTAATTTAGTCATAATTAAAATGACGTCATAAGCAAATGCTAGCCACACGTATGTCTGTCCGCAGCTGATTATAGATAATGAATCATACAGATACTTAATCAATCAATCGAAACCGTTCTTTAAGAATATATCGCTAACGGTAAGTATGAATAGAGTTTTCCTAGAGATGAATTTCATCATGTCTACATTAAAAGAGAGAAATATTTCTTCGAATTGAAATTTTTTCGTAGTAGATCCGATTCGAGCTTCGAATCGCACTTCGTATACGAGTGAAACTCGAATACCATCTAGTTTATTTTAATCTTATCAACAATAAAAATTCACATTGATTTTGCTACGTGATGCACATAAATAGAAGATTGCTTAGAGTTATGAATACTCTGTCATTTTTCTTCTTACTTATTTTGATAAACAAAAGTTATGCTTACAACAAGTCTCCATCATTTTCAGTTCAAACTAATTTTCCTTCGTTTAAAATAAAGCCCAAACATGTAAATCGATTGGCCAAGTAAAAACAAATATTTCGGCTACATTTTCCGATCTATATTTATATTCATTATTTGAAAGATCTATCGAGAAACTTAAAGAACTAAATATTAATAATTATAAATTAATCTTTTAAATAGAGATTTTTTTATATAAGACTTTGAAAGTTCACCGACTGATTCTACTAACATGAATCTGAAACTGTCAAAATTAAATATTCTATATTTTCATATCTCTATTTAAATATCTTTCTTAACTAGTAAAATATATAATTGAACTTTTTTGTTATTATTTATCAGTAAATAATATTTGAATATAGAGTGTCTCATGAAGAAAAACAATTGTAACCATAATTATTGGATACGTACTGCACCTAGAGAAATATTTTGTGTTCGTGTCATTAATTTAGATACATAACTTAACCAAGAAGAAATGACACCTTCAAACAAAAATCAATCCAAAATAATGAAGTACAAGAAGATAATCTTACCGCCGGATAGAAAAACAGCTTAAAGAAAAAAGATACAATTGAAGTTACTTTTTATTTTAAAACGAATTTGACAAACCAAAAAATTGCTCTTTTCCAAATATTTTGATTATGGGATCACTAAATGACCATAAAACATACATATTACATAGAAAATGTATTCCATTAAAATGACTAAATGTTGATAATAACATTGAACTAACATTTTCTATTTAAATAAAAGATTGATTATTAAAATGCATAGCTATACATTTCTGATGTAAAACAAACTTTTATAAGGAGTTGATGTAAAATATTTTAATAAAAATGGCTCAAATCTTTTTATTCTCCATGAAAGGAAAACAATTAAATTTAATCCAATTATTGTTCCAATTGTTCGTTTAGATTCTGGAATATTATACCAAATATTTTTCAACTAAAATTTCACTTTAAAGAAAACTATTTATTAGAAAAAAAGAAAATACTTTTGATGATATATTTTGCGATTTATCTTTCGATTGCCAATTTTCTTTTTGTCTTTTTAATTTCTTTCTATGAGACTCATATTGCCAAATAGCACATGTTACGAATGAACAGCCAACAAACTTTGAAAATGAAATTAAGATAAATATTTTAAATAAGAAAATAAAATTTATGAAAATACACTCAATGTAAATATTGTTGGTCGAATAAGAAGTGTACTTCGGTGAATTTCTTTTTCACTTTCAATACGTAATATATTTGATTGGTCAAGATTTTGTTTTGAACGACGAAGTTTCAATTTTGATGCATTACGAGAAAATTCACGGCGACATTGTTTAATTAATTCAAAATAAATTAATGATGAACTTTTTGATGAAGATAATATATACTTAGAAAATTTTAGCCACATTGTAACTTTTTTTATAGCTAACAATAGAAAATAAACAGTGAATATAACGGTTGAATGCAGTCATGGTTATTATAGGAAGGAAAGGGGGTGGCAGTGTTTTCAATGGAAATTTTGAAACAAAGCGTATAGTACAGTTTACTTCTGCTTGGTACAATTGCTATTTGAAACAAAGTTGATGGGGGGGATAGATATATATTTCTATACATTTCGATCAACCAATTAAACATTTTATTTTAGCTACATTGATCGCAACCGACATCTTTAGTTATCTGGCAACATAATTAATCATCCCATGAGTATATATGTTGCATTGTAGTTGCTTTAAATAATTTAAGTAGTAACTACATGATGATGATCAGAATAAAATTAGCACAGCTGATATTTAAAATTTGTCTTTCAACAAAACAATAGGCACATTTACGTGCCAGATAGGAACAATATTGTGCAGGTTATGCGAGTATGGGGGTTACGAGAGATGACACAGTCGAAATTTTTCTTAAATCTGCAAAATTGATTGATGGTGACTATAGAACAATTGCTGATTCAAAATTATCTGAAGTTACTTTGTGCCTCGACATTATTATTGCAAAGAAATATCAGTTATTATAATTCTACTATAAGACAATTTCATATTGAAAAGTTATCTCGAATTTTTCATTAGTTTAACGAATTGATTGACAGCGGAGGGTTAAGTTGCTAATTTTACCTACGTCCAATATTGAAAGTAAGGGTGTGGGCTGTTGGTGTAGAGATTATCCAACTAGCTATAAAAGTACCCACAACATCAAGATAGAAGTGTTAATAAAATAATTAAAACAGTATTTTGATTAAATTCTATTTTTAGCTGCCTCCTAAGAAAGAAAACAGTTTTCCTTTAAGTTATTGGAATGCATAGGAAGAAAATATTGTATTTGCTTACATATTTTTCTATATTTAGAAGTACCTTTCAGTCTTCAATTACGTTTTTGATGGAAATAGTTCTCAGTAAAATTACGACAAATTGTTCTGCAAGTTTCTAGATTCAATCAAAAAAATATTTTGAATATTTTTGAGAAAAAGAAAACATTTTGAAAATCTTCAGATCTGTTCCTTATTAAACTGTACATCGGCAATAGGAAAACTAGGAAAGTTAGACAGAGACAAATTTCGAAAAAAAGAACCGTTTACTGTTAATAGTATGCACTTGCATATTTTTTGCAGATCATATGATCCACTATTCCCAGTAAGAGCGTCACTATAGTCGCGCAAGCTTTTTCTTGACGAGGAGGGGGTAGCTGCCTGTTACTACCCCCTTACAGTGACGGCGGAGCCATTGAGACAGGTGAGGCTTGAGCCTCACCTAGTTTTCAGTAGATGAGGCTCAGCCTCACCTAGATTTCGCAATATGAGACTCAGCCTCACTTGCTTTTGTACTGAATATTGTTATTTTCTTGTTCTTGCATCAGAGTAGAAGCAAAGAAAACTAGTTTTCGGTATTTTCCAATCTTCTTTTTTTATACTGACCATTTTCATTTTTGCTGAAGTTCAATAAAAAAAAGACTTATTTACTACTTGATGTTTCATAAAATTCCACGGTAGCAAAAAAATATGATGAGCCTCACCTAGCTTAATGACGCTCCGCCGCCCCTGCCCCCTTATTTCCCCCCTGGAGTCTTTTCTGCTTTCTCTCCCATCTTCTCTTCGCCCTTCCCTCCCACACATAAACGAATACTCACCACTGATTATGCCATATCCATGGATCTGAATAAATACCTAACTGTTCAATTTATTGTTCAAATTGATCTAAAAAATGAAAAAAGAAAATTTTCATTCAATTGATGCTTACTCTTCGATTGATTGCTAAATTTGGTAGATAACAGCTGCATGGTGATACTAACGCAAGTCAAACTACAAGTAGCTTACGACCATACAAGATCGTGCGTTTTCGATTTGGGTTACTCTTCAAAACATCTGTGAACTAAATGTTCTGCTTAAATTTTCACGTGTGAAATTAATGCTTGAGAAGGGCGTATATCATGATTTCTTTGTCAGATGCATAATCTTTGCTGTACGTATGCTTGAGCAATTGTAGAATGCCAGCATCGTCAACTGAGAATGGAAGACTGTTTACGAGTTATTTTTATATTTCTAACAATATCAAATGTTTCGAATGGTTGAAATGAGTCGTCTTCGCCTTTCTGCTGTTTATCTCACACTTTTGCTTCGTGAGAGTTTCATTCATCCTTGAACTAATAGTTATATTTATGATTGCATTGTCTTTCAAATCGAGATCTATACCATTTGCATGTTAAATACAGATTAAAGTATACTATTTGATGGAGATTCTCTTATACTTTGTTATTTTAGTTTTAAAACTAGAAGTAGATCTAAGTAGAAGGAATCGGAAGAATAATAAAGATTAGAGCATTAATTGGTCAAGATGACGAACTGAAAGGAACAATCCTCTTGTTCTGTTAACTCAATGGAATATTTAATAGTCAAAAGGTTTGTTTCAAAGACATGAGAATAAATAATGCAATTAAGTAAAACGTTTTATTTGATATTTCGATGTACAAAAGAATATATACTCAAAGATTTCAAACCATTTCAATTAAAATCGATTGTTTGCTTTTATTGGCCTTACACGCCTAGTGATGGGCCGTAACTCTAATGTGCAAAGCGCGTAAGAACGAAAAAAAAAGTCTGACGACGATTTCGTGCGTAAGACGTAATTTTCCTTTCCTTTCTACACGAAATTACGAATATCTTTTAGCAAGGCACCAAAATGTAGCAGTGTGATTCCGTAATTTCGTGTAGAAAGGAAAGGAAAATTACGTCTTACGCACGCAATAGCCGTCAGACTTTTTTTTTGTTCTTCCGCCGTTCTAATGCATTGCGCGTTAGAGTTTCGGTCCATCACTATACACGATTGCCACTGATTGGTAGATATTGTTTTGCTTTATTCACACATTCAACAAGACTTTCTCGTAGATTTGCTGTAACCCAGAAGAGAATGATAATCATAGCACATAATGTTGTATTCGTATTCAGAAGTAAAAGGCACATCCATTTGTTTGGTGAAAGATCAGGGCGAATTATGGTGATTCGTATGAAAATAACTGACGGTATATCCACAGCAGCCAATTGAGAATTAATCAATACTATATGTCGAACTATTTTCAAGTCACAACGCGTTGATTCACGTGCACTCTCGATGAAGCTTCACGTGCGTAACTTACTAGACGACGATAAAGAATAAAAACAGTAATACCTGGTATAAGGGATGTTTGTGAAGTCATGTAACATAACAGACCAATATTTTTTAATGCGATAAAACATATATTCTATGTAGGAAATTTCGGCATATCACCTGTTAGATAAGCAGGAAAGCAGAAAATTCAATCAAATATCCATTGCATAAGGACTATGGACAATTTAACACTGTTTTTTTTAGAAGTTTCAATCTCTTAATGTTTGCATATTTTTCTATAGCTTGTAGAACGAACGCATGATGTATTGCAGCTCTTGTTGCATGATGAATGTAGGCACGTAATGAACAAAGAGAGTCAACATTAACAATAGGTTGTTGATCTCAAGTAAACATGTAGATAGCTATTGCAAAGTAGTCACAAGAATATAAGAAAACGGTACGAATTGTGTTGCAAGCGAATAGAGTAGGAAAATTGAAACATCGACGTCGATAAACAGTAGGAATCACAAGAAAAGCAAAGCTCGAAAGACTAACGAAGCAACTGTGAAATATATATATATATATATATTCGATTAATAACAAGAACTATATCCATCATGGTCAAGTCGAGTCGAGTGCTTTGCCTGGATGGTTAATGTGAGATAATTTCAAGCTGAAAAATCTTGAATGAGAAATACTCTTCGAGCTGGATACACTAGTTTTTGAGCGAAAAGTGTCTGCTCGTTCTGCATGTATGCCACAGGAGTGGGAGCATGAAAAATAAATGTAATGCAAATAAAACAGGCTTCTCTTTATGAAAAAGCGGCTCACGCTCTTTGAGGGAAATATCATAGACGAGTTTCGTTGCACATGGACGACTCAGATATGTTATAGCATGTAGATGTAGACTTCAAGACATAAAATGTTTCGATTATCTGTGACAATGCACTGCATCAAATGATAAAGTGAAGCGTTCTAATAGTAATGACACTATCAGATAAATGACGTTGATTAGCTGGGGATAGCGTCGTGATTCTATGCATCTGATTCTTAGTCAGACAGGAGAAGGTTCGATTCTTTCCCCCGGCTCGGTGTCTTCGGAGTCAAGATATACGGTATCGAAAGAATAAGCAAAGGAAGAACAGCAATGCACGTCAACCGCATCATTACTGCCTCGATTTCGATTTTCGCTCTATTCGTTTTCTCTTCTTTGTCATTTTTTCTCTTTTTGTTATCGTAGTCTTATCTGTCGACTTGTTTCGTAAGCGTCCGCAAAATTGTACAAAAGTCATAAAAAAATGTATGGATGTCACGAATAAAATTCAGCATAATTAAGAAAAAAAAGACGTTGATTGGTCTAAAGACTTCGGTCTCCAATACTAGTTTCAAGGGACATTTTTAAATTAAAAATGCATTGAAATCACAGTTGTGTTACCTTGTAAATATTATTGACAAGCCATGGTAAATATATTCTCAACATGTATTTCAGTTGTCTGTTTTGTTTCAGTGTCTATGTTTCTTCCTTGGTGAATTCTATTAATTATGGAAGAAATCAGTTCGATTTATGATTATAGTTTTTACATTTCTCCACCTTGGAAGAAATTTTCAACTTTCTTACCAACCTTGATTAATCAAAAATAAATACCTTGCTTTCATTCTGCGACACTACACGTTTTTATCCGTCTCTATTTTGCTTGGAAGTCGTACCGACGTCGTCAATACGTTGAAAAATCAACAGAACTCGATGAATCATCTTCATAGTCATATATCAAGCAAAACTGCAATCCCATTAATTATCTTACCCTTTTGATGCTTGTGAATCTGAATTTTCACGTTAAGTTCTAATAAAACCGATTCAGTAGTATATCTTGTTTATACTCTTCCGCAGACATGAGTCATGCAGTGTATTGTTTTGTATAGCATTTTTCCTTCCTACACATGCACGTACTGTGTTTAAAGCTACTATTATCGATGAATACTTTCTGCATATAATTTTTATGTGTATTTTAGAAGCTTAGATATATCTATGGAACACTTCAAACGTCAGCAAGATGATATTTTTCATCATGGCGATGATAGTAAAAGAAAAAAGATTCGAAGCAACATTAATGATTCGTGAGTCATCCAATGATATTATTTGAACTAAATCTATTTTTTTTACAGTTTATCACAAACTAGCACTATGACATGTTTTGAACATCTTTCTAATGAACTTATGTATGAAATATTTGAATTTCTGGATTATTTTCATGTATATGAGGCGTTTTTCAATATGAATTTACGATTTCGTAACCTTATTAGCAATTCAAGTCTCCCTATTAAAATCAAAGTTTCATCAATATCTAAATCAGCTTATCAGCGATATTATACAGACATTATAATGCCTCATGCCAATCAAATAAGTTCAATTCATTTATCAAACGTATTCATTTATGATATTGTATCTTCACCTATTCGCATCCTACCAGAGTTTCGTCAACTTCAACGACTTATTCTTGATAATATTAAATCTAAATGTCTGACACAAATTCTTCTCGAATTATTTTCTTTTCCCGGTCTCTCTTCATTGACTATTGACTCTTATGATAATATTAAAAATAAGAATTTTATCTATCATCAAATATTTCGTTTACCTGCATTAAAATATTGCAAACTGTCCTTACATCGATGCGCTAGTGATTATAATCCATTACCACTCGTTACAAATGAATGCAGTTCAATCGAACATTTTATAATCAATCATGGCATTTACTTGAATGAAATGAATGGTTTGTTATCATATACTCCTCAACTTCGTTGTTTTTCTGCACAACTTGGACGAATATATTCGATGAAAAAGACAACAATAGATCCGCCTACACTAAATCATTTGACACATGTGTTTCTTGAACTAGGTGACATAAGTTTTAGTGAATTTGAGCAGCTGGCTATTGATTTTTTCTCTAGAATTCAAGTTTTACGTATTTCGCTAAAATATCATAGAGATACAGAATATAGAGATAATAATAGATGGGAACAATTAATATCATCTCGTATGTTAAATTTACGTATATTCGATATTCGACACGAAAGTTGGGCTATCAATGTTGCTGCTAACAATAATAATAGTAATAATGGTCCGATAATATTCGATGGTCTGATCAATCAGTTTATATCTCCGTTTTGGATCGAACGAAAATGGTTTTTTGCCGTTCAATATATTCAGTCAGAGTTTCGAAATCGGGAAATATTCTACTCAACGAATCCGTATAGGTATCAGCAGATGTGATATTTGCTCAGTCATAGAGTACATATTATTTGTATTTTTTAGAAGAAAACATTACACATTATATAAAAAATCCAATGAAGAGAGGTATTTAAACGATTGTGAAACTAATATTCAGTCAGTTCATCATCTTCATATTGAAAGTGAAAAAGAAACGATCAATTGTATGAATTATTTTCCAAATGTCACTGAACTTACTGTCGCATATGGTTTTTCGACAAACAGTCATTCATTTTCAACGATTCTCAATCGTATTATACCTTTGAAACAACTCTCTAAACTAGTTCTTGAATGTCACCATATCTCGTTTATGAAGCTCATCGAATTATTACGTTTTACACCTAATATTCGCGCATTAGTATTTCAATCGATGCCATTTTATAGGGATGATTATATGTCAATTCAGCAAAGTGAAACTTTTCGATTAGTATCCACTACAAATAAGATTACGAACGTGACTTTCAAAGACGCTAGTACATTAGAAAAGACTAGACTACTTATTGCTTTATGTCCTCAATTGCAGTATCTTTCCATAAAGACTCGGATGAAATATTTGGAATCAATAACAAGACTTCTATTAAAAAGTACTAATAAAAATACTGGCCATTTGTGCTCGTTGTGCTTTTTAGAGACGTCAAATAGATGGTTCGCAAATGTGAGTGATCTTATCATCTCCGAGATGCTACTCGATGATTATATGTTAAAACTGGTCGACTCAAAATTATACTTGTGGTGGTAAGGTTGAAGTATAGATATAGAAAAATATTTTACTCTCAATGTTACTTATTTAAAATAAACAAGAGAGCGAATAGCTGCCATTAGACCCAATCGGATCTAATCCGAGTCTGAAAATTTTCTGTTGATGTATATTGGGCTTGACTTGACTGTTATTGCAAGTATAAAAGTAAAAGACAATTATGTTCATATTATTGAGTGACGGGGTCGATAAGAAGAACCATTTCCTAATTCATGTAATGACTCATTAATGAAATTTCCATTTGTTTTGTTCTTTGATTGGCGCTTGAGGTTTTGAAAAAGAATGAAAATGGATTACGGCTACAAATTTTCTCTTCTTAGAGATACATAATCTCTTATATTTTCTAGAGGGTGTGGGTGTGGGTGTGGTGTTTGTGAGTATAAATCACTCAAACACCCAGATCCACGTGTACCTAAAATACTACAGGATTTTATCAAACTGAATAATTCAGCACAATGAACATCATCCGTTAGTATTGATATTGAAAATATTCTCGTTCAAGTAGTACAGCATAATTATTGTGAACTTACAAGAACGAAACGAAACATGAAATGTTATCGAAAGAGATAGAAAAAATTTCGATACATTGTCACCAACAATAGTTTTAACATCGATCCGTCATATAATACCAACAGGTGATCATCCATCAATAAACTCTGTTACTTATAGAGTAGTTTATAACAACAGCAAGGTTTTACTAAAATCATTTCATCAGATGGAACGATCAGATCTGATTCGACCATCAGCTTTTCCAAGGTCGTCTCCTGTCTATTGACCCAGAAGAAGGATGGGTACGGATGAAGACAAAATTCTCATCTCCACACGTGGAATAATTTGTTGGAAAAAGGAAAAACGATCAGCGTAACTCTGATTTCAAATGGTAAAAGACGAATGAATGTTTCTTTTCTTTAGCAGTACTATAAAAAATTCACAAGCCATTTAGATGAAAATAGTAGATCTGTTACACGAGCATTTTTTATCTTCATGCTATGTTTTATCAGTGTTTCAATGAAAACAATTTAACATCGTCTTTATAAGATTAAAGTGCACGAATTGTCTACTCAAAGAAAACCAACAACAAACGATTTAGTAAATATTCACGTGATAAATAACAACCGTTAGTAGCCGAAAACCAGTGACGTTTCAGATCTGTTACTCTGAATTGTAAAAGTGTGTAAACTATATGTGAAGAATACCAAATAAAGTATCAGCCTAATTTTTTTATTATTTCTACCTATTATTAGGCGTGCATCATTATTAAACAATACGGTGAGATGATTTGTTGTTTTCGTAGTGAGTTCCAGCTTCTTATTTCTGTTTTAATCATTTTTATTTTGAGATTCTGGCTATGAATATCGCTATTTGAGTGGGTGTTGTTGAAGCGAAAACGAATACGCATACACCAGCACCCTATTCGAAATCGAAGTATGATCTAGTCATTCAGTAACGGACACTGTTCGTAGATTTCCTGGTCTTCAATTACTTGCTAATAATGGTTAACGATTGCATGCAAACATGAAAAATAAAAATATGAGTTTCAAACCATCCAATAAACTTACACATCGGCTATTATAACTACTAGCTATTTTCGATGAAACATGCCCGGCAGAACTATCATGCACTGCTAAATGTTTGGGTGGAGTTATTGCTATGCGGTCAGAGCTCCCATCTTTACAACACTGGTTTAGTGTATGTTCTTAAAAGAACTATTAAATTCTTCTTCTGCGGATAGGATTATTCGATCAAAAGCATACTCAAGAATATCATCAATCATTTTTATTTTTGCATAGAAATCTAACTGAGCCGTCAGGAATAACTTTTTTGATAGATCTTTTTGGCGATTGTATGGCTGCGTAGTGAGTCAGCAGGAAGATATTGATAAGTAATTACTCACGCTCACAGATGATTGACAATTGATTCTTTGCAATTGTCAATTTTAAAAATATTGTCTGTGGTGATTTTTGTGTTCAACAAGACAATTAGTTAGTATGAGGAAAATATTCTTTTTTTATAAACTAGCGTTGAATTCAATAAAACTTCGTTCATGAATCAAGCACACATTATTTTTATTGATGTTCTAAACGTTTGACAAAAGAATAATGCATCATTCAAAATTATCGGAACATTGAAAGCAATCCGAATGCACCGAGTACAAGTATCCAAGATGATTTTACCGATACAATACCCATGTTGCAGTAATCTCTGTCACAACAGCACACTTCCATCCATTGACCACTGATATATTTCGAAAAACAGCCTCTTCTGGTGCATTCACCAGGATTTGCTGCACCACGAGTAAATGGTCCCTTTCCACTATTATCAGGACTTATTTTCTAAAATAATAAAGCATTGTCTTTGAAGAAAGAAACATTTGATCCTGATTGGCCCTCATTTATGTATACTTTTCATAAATGTTTTCAACAGAGATCTAGCTCGGGGACCTCGCTATAATCATAACTGGGTTTTTCGTTATTAAGTTTGTATTTGCTAGGGAAAAGTTAGTTCCGTATGTAGGATATCTATTTACAAAAGGAGATATCCAAAGAGTCGAAGTGGTAGACTTCAGCGGATGGACCGATGGCGTCTAAGCAAGAATTAGTATTTTTCTATTACAAGTAGATCTAATTTTATAATAGAATTCGAGAGGACATAAAGTAGTTATATGAGTAATCGGTATAGTCGTATCAGCATATAAATCGATAAAGTATAATTAAATCTGTATCAATATTCTTTATTTATATGGGGACATCATGTAGATTGATGTTTTCACTTACCTCACAGTAACCATTATATGATGGAACAATCAGTACATTTCGATCAGATTTATAAAACGGTTGAGGACATGGGCGACCAACACCACCGCAAAAGTAACAGTTGATGTATCCTCGTCTTGTTGTTGTTGGGGGTCTACGGGTTGTTACTGTTGGTGGTTTACGGGTTGTCACTGTTGGTCTAACAGTAGGTTTTGGAGTCGTAGCACCTGATGAGGCTCTTAGGGTGTCCCCTAAAATTTGAACACAGGCTACATAGCCAAAGACCAAGGAAACCAGAAGGAATACTCGCATTTTCAGTTTTGTTTTCAAGATTGTTTCAACGGTCTGATAAAAGGAAGCGTGAAACGAAAGAGCTACGTAATTATATGTTTTCGTTTGTTGCTTATCTTGCACGAATTCAATGACTTTGGTCTTGTATCATATAAAACTGATAAAATGAAAGTGAAACATTATCTATTTGTTGACACAACAACATGCAGTGTCATGTGCATGAAATGCCTAGTTCGAATTCGAATAGAAATGAACACTCAAGTGCATGGTATCAATTTGAAAATAAGTGATAGAAATAGATTTAGTTTAAGATGGAGCGGGTGTGGGTTGAGGGAGGCTAAGGGGTAACTGTGAATGGCGGCGAGAGTGAGGGGGCGGGTAGGAGAGGTATCCGAGATACTTTGAATGTGGGTGTGGGTGATGGATACCATGTAGGACTGCTCAAATGTGGGTGCAGGTGAGGGGTATATATGGCACAGTTGACATGAGAATTTCAGTTGAGATTGGAATGCGCGAAATAATTTAAACAATAAAAATGAAAAAAAACCTTTTTAATTATGAAGCTTTGATAAAGAATCAAAAACAATTCATTTAAATAATCATTCACGAAGGAAGTCATATTTAAAACATTTAGTGAAATATATCAATATAAATTTTTGGTTTTATTAATAAAACATGCAACCAAGACTTTCGCTTGATATATTTTGCTCTTTGAATAAACTTTTGATTTGCATTTGTGAGTCATATTATAATAAGTATTCTCAGTCCTATTCATATAATTGTAGTATAAGAGCATGGAAAAATTAGTTATTCTTCGATAATTTATCATATCAATTTAAAACTATTTACAAATTTCCTTTTTGTATTTGAACTTTTTATAAGATTTGCTTAAAAAATTGTGTATTTTTTAATGATATGATCAGTATTTATTAATGCTCGTTTTTACGCAATGCAAAACTAAAAAGCATAAGCTATATCGATTCGATTCTTCTTCTTATTTATGTTAATGTTTCTTTTCAGCTTGGTAAAACTTTGTTCAGATAAATGTTTTTTTAGGAAAACTTGAACTACATATCAATAAACTTGACGTTCAAAAAAAGGGAATCATCCGATCAAGAACGATATGTATTTAAAACATTCTGAATGTTACTACAGCAGAAAATCTACTTAAGTCATGAAAATTCAGCTTTTGCGTTGGAAAAACTTTTCGTCTGACAGATATTTTTTTATCGCGACTTTTTTACCCTCTGCTCGTCCTAATCAATACTTTTTAAAAAAAACTTAAAACAAAAAATTTACTCAATTATTCAATGTCCCCATCATTCGGAACAGATAGCTATAGAAAAATCAATGGTATCGATTCAAAAAATTACTATTCATTTAACAAAAGAAATCTACAATCGATTCAATCAAATATTTTCTGTTTTTATAATCTCTGCAACGAAAAAACAATGAGAATAATAAAAGTCATCGAAAAAAATGAAAAAAATGATAATTTATAGATAGATTTCTGAATTTATAATTTACGCAAAAGTCCAAATAAAAGAATGAAAAAAAAACTATTTCAATCTCAACTGAATTCCAAACTCGCCTGCCACATATATATAATCATATATCGCATATATCGGAAAGCTAAACTTTTTCTTTTCTCCGTTTATTTTCGAACTCGAATTAGACAGCTACTCATCAATACATATCCTTCAATAGTATCAGATTATTCATAGTTATCAATCTTCGATTTTTACCATTAAGTATAAACTCTACTAGATTAAATCTAATTTTCTACTTTGTTTTCGTACTCTGATGCAAAGGATGATAAAAATGATTTGTTTATTCTTGTTCGAAAGATATTTTCTCGAAAAGATCATCTGCATGCTACGACAAGCTAAGTTTTTTCCACGTTTCATGTTTCTCAAAAACTGAGTTGGTCTTTGATTTATGGTTCACAAAACTCATCCGAATGTAAAATGTGCATAGTAGCTGTACGGTAAACTTGAAACTTGAATCCGATTGAAGTTTCAAGTTTCAAACATGCAATTATATGTGTCGCAATCGGAATGATGTCGACCTTAAAAGATGAAACTTGAAACTTCATTTAATTTCAAATTTCGCATCTGACACAGCTGCAATCAAGTCGGGTACGTTAATCAGTTTGTAAACTGAAGGGCTGAAGATAAATGCTTTATCTACTGATTTCCCTTTTTTTCCATCGAAAAATCCTGCGAAGATTTTATCAAAAATGTTTATAACGTGTCAGAAAACTACGTGAAAGTTCTTGTACAACATAGATAGAAATTACTTTTTTTTCTAATTGGAATAAAACACATGTCTTTATGCATTGGAACGCTATAGGCAAATATTTCAACGAGATTATTCATATTTACAGTCTTGTAACAGATCGGTTGCAAAATATTATGGTCCTATATTCTGGAAACTTCTGTTTGTCATTACAAAACAAAGAAAGTAGGAATCGCAAGATCAGCTTTACAAAATGTACTTGATCAAAGAACTAAATATTTTATATCTGCATTGGTTTCGCATTACATAGAAGTAAACAATGCGTGAGCATTTGATAAATATCTAGTAAATCACTGTGAATAGCATTATAATTGTGAAGTCTAACACGTATAGTTTTGTATTGCATATCTATCACCCAGTGAAAAATATTACTAAAAAAGAACGGTAAAGAATGCGTTCCAAAAGAACTGAAGCTCTTTTTTTTAAGAAAAGAAAACATTCCACAACAAATGGAAACCGTTCTCAAATGGAACGCACTAGAACGCATTCTATCATTCTAAGAAGGTGTTCTTGGTCGTTTCGAAATGGAACAGTGAAGAACGCATTCTGCCACTTGTGGAACGCTTTCTCTTCTTTAAAACGGTTAACCTTTCTGATCACCTGGGTGATCATTAATAGATGAATCTACAATTAGTCAAAAGACTGTTCCTGATGCAACTTGACGAGCTCTATCGAATGGCGTACTCCAATTCGTTGTAACTGAAACCGTTATTAAAATAATAATTTTTCTAAATCAGACCAAATATCCCTAAAGTAAAATCGAATGAAGATTCCATCATTTCTCACATCAATTTCAACCTGCTTTGCTTCAGACCTTTCATTTTAGAATGAAAATGTGGTTTGCTTCGAAAAGAAAGCATTCATCTCTTCAGAGAATCCATTGTCTTAAAGGCTCGTGAGAGAACGTAAAAGGAAGCTATTTTATTTCGATGAAATGCTATGTTAACCGTTCCGAAAGAAAATGAACTAGAATGAATTCTACTGGTTTAAGAATGATTCAGAATGCTTTCTCTTCAAATAGGGAACGATTTTTCAGTATAGAAGAAAGTATTCCATACTAGTGTGGAACGGTAAAGAACGAGTTCCTTCAGATCGAGAATATTTCTTTCTGACTCTGAACGCATTCGCTCAAACAAGGAACGCATTCTCTACGTAGCAGATAGGTTTCCATATCCGCATGAAACCATTCTATTCTGTTTTTTTTCGAAATATTTTTTACTGGGCAGTCTAACTTCTGAGACACAAATTGTGATGATAGTTTTGTCGTATGTTCCATTTAATTTAATTATTACTGCTAATAACTTCTAGAATCCACCAGGATCCAGGAGCCACTTTTCCCCCCTTGGATATTTCTCGTCCTTATGAATCCACTTATAAATGAAAAAATAGGAATCTCTTCGGTTTATAGTTATACCAAATGTTGATGGATCTTAGTGAGAACCTGCCGCAAATACCAACAGTTCGAAAAGAGACCACTAAGAGGTTAGTATTCATTTACAATTCGTTATTTACTAAACAGCCCAATTTCCATTTAAGACGAATGTCACGAGCAAAACGCTTAACCATCTGTATTTTCATTTTCGGATCATGCCTAGTAATTATGGCTGTGATTTTAATTGTCGTTTTTGTTAAAACCACCAAGTCATATACAACGACAACAGCAAATACAACTGGTATGCTACTTTTGGAAAAAAAACTGGCTTGTACATACTTTGCACTTAAAACAATCAGTGAGCAGCGAGTACTTGTATGAAAGTGGAACTATTCTACATATCTGTTAATTTTCAAATAATTTATCTGAATTAAAACGACCAGTAACCTCATTAAAATTGATAACCTATAGACAACAAAATATAGTTCTCTAGTTTTCTAAATTCATTTACGAGCTCCACAACTTTTTTTTATCTCTTTCTAATCTCGCCACTTTTTCAAAATTGTCGATCGCCAATCATACATATTCGACGACAGGTTGTATGAGATGACCGGAAAGAATTTCATCATTTAATAGCGTCAGAAACCAAATAACTTACAAACATTTGTTTCGTATTTTGAAACCGATAGATTTTTTTTCATATTATTGAATATTTTTTTCTTTTTACAAAATAGTATTACTAAACACAACGACGATCGAAGTAGTTGAAACAATGAAGACAACAGCAAGTCTGTAATCAATATTTTTTTCATGATTCTTTTTGTGTGAAACAGTTAGAATGATTCAGACTACGTTGAACAGGGGCGTGGGTGTGGGTGTGAACCTGATTATTAAAAATTCACTCTAAACAACTCACGAGGTAGATTTGTTCTTTAAAAGGTTAACTCGAAACCCTACAAAAAACAGGTTAGAAAAATCAGTAATATATGATGCGATGCGTCTTCATCTTCTTTTTTCAATGGTGAAAATCGTAGTTCTGTAACTTGTTGCTATTAAACGCTATTCAAAAAATACTCACGAGCATTCATGTTCATGCTATCCGCATATATCCGAAACAAACAGATCTTATCAAAATTTTACTATTATGATATTAGTTGAATAGCGATCAAATGGCATAGAAAAATAGAGCAAAACACGCTCTATCTATTGGTAAAAAAAGAAACCTTTTTTCGACTTCTGCTTGAGGAAATAAGGTGCCTCCCTCACTACTTTTGGATTGCCCTAAGTAATTGTGACAATGGAGTTTTAAATAGCTCGTTAAAATTTTTATAAAACCAATGAACCTAAATAAGCTAAAAACAAATTCATTTTATGCACTTTTTGGTCTTGATGGAATTTTTGAGTTTGTACGAATGAGAGTGAAAACGAACACATGAATTACGTCCACAACAATGCACACCTGCATCTGTATATAGATGCACATGCGTCTCTCGTTGTAATTCCATGTGGATTATACTAGGGAAGTCCGAACCTTTTTTAAAGTTCTATAGCTTCTGACTAGAATCTTTAAAAGTCCGGTATGATACCTGCTTTTTAAATTGCGGGAAAGTGCGATCCATAAATATAGATTGATATATCAACGGAAAAGGTTGTCCTCCTATAAATTGTCATCGTTTTTCATGATAAAATCAAATCGTGTTAGTATGTTTCATACCTGAATTGAATGATAGAGCTGAAGACTCTTTTAGACAATCTCAGTTTTCTATAGAAAAAATGGTGGTATATAGTAACGATAAGAATATAAACAGTGATTAGAATACTCTTTTCTTGTCTTGCTAGGGTCATTAATAATGTTTGGAGTTCAGCACAATTTGAATCCAGTTTCATTGCTACCTAGTTGGTCAATATGCTATCAAGGTCTTTATTCTGTTATTTTAACTGAGGCCGCTGTCGTTTCAATACTTAGAAGTTGTAACAAGACATTGCTTTTACTTGCTTGTCGACCAGTAACCAACATTAATTTCACTGTAGCTGCTATGGGCAATCGAAGTGATGTGCTCTACGATTGCGACACCATTATAGAATGCACTCATTTAGCAAACGGGGTTGGATGGTACTTTTCCGATCGATACTCATGGGGTTTTGTCAATGGCGATGAGTCTGTCACGCGTAAACAATGCGATACAAATCCGGTCAATAACGGTGTGAACGGACTTTGTTGGCACACTACTATGAATTCAGGTGGTTATCAATGTGGCTCTAATATAAATCTTAATAGTGATTCGACATATGAGCGACTTATATATCATTCGAACTAAACAGTTTTCTATTTTGTCTTACTGACTTTCACCCAAGACAGATTTTTGTTTTCCATGATCAGCTCACTATAGCATGGTTTTACTTTTTGAAAACATGATCTATGATCATGGTTCAGATTAGCTTGCATATAGGCGTATGAAATTTCACTGTATACTGATGAAGCATATACAGGAATTGACCACACAAATCGGTTTCTCGTAACGATGGCGGGTCAAACCATCAGGAAACTTTTATGAAAGTCATGTTCATAAAATATTGAGTATATAAATGTATTTAGTCTGGATTAGTCAATAGATGAAATACAGCCGTCTTTAATTTCAACGAATTATGAATTTCGCCTCCTTTTCATACACACCACTGTATACAACCGCAGCAACTTTCACTCAAAAAAGAAATGGTTTGAATTACAAGTACGTTGATCAATGAAGATATCTAGAGAAAATCCATTGATCTCAATGTCGGATTTAAAAAATAATGAGCTTCTGATATTAATGAGTACCCATATTGATATAGTAGTAAATATCAATTAATAAAATACAGGTTATTTCAAAAATTACAATCTTGTGTCTGCGCTTATTGAAAATGCTTTCTCTTCTAATGTATCAGTATATGTTGTCGGCCAATCTCAGTAGCAATTCGCCGGTGAGAATGGTGAAGAAGAAGCGAATTCAAAACATACAACTTCGTCTTGATCTCTTCAAGTACAAGATATCATATCAACGTGTTGTCAGAACGAAGAACTTCTAATTACCAATATTCTGCTAGTACCCTGGAGCAGCATTTGTGTTTTCATTGCAGCTGGTATAATCCACTGGTTTGAAATTACAATCGAGAATGAATGTGTTGGCGAAGGATCCTTCTGTAGAAACAAAATAACGGCATCTGATCAATGTTTGGCTTCTAGTATTGACGCTCTCTATAAAAGATTAGATAATCTACAAAAAATATGCAAGTGCATGAAATTAACAGCAAGACGTTTCTGTTTTTCAAAATTTTTCTGTGTTTAACTCTCCTAGTTTTCCTATTGCTAGTGTATAGTTCAAAAAAAAGGAACGGATCTGAAGAACCTCAAAATGTTTTCTTTTTCTCAAAATTATTTATAATATCTTTTTGATTGAATCTAGAAACTTGCAAAACATATGTCTTATTTTTACCGACAAAGATTTCCCTTAAAAGCTTAATGGAAGGCTGAACGGTATTTCTAAATATAGAAAACTATTTATAAGCTAATACAATCTTTTTTCTTATTCATTCCAATACTTAAAAAGGAATGCTGTTTTATTTCCTGGGAACCAGCTAAAAGATGAATTTAATCAAAATATACTGTTTTAATTCTTTTATTAACTGTTTTTATCTTGAGGGTGTGGGTATCTTTATAGAACTAGTAGGATAATCTCTACACCCATATCCCGATAATAAATTTGCAGTGGCAAAATAAATATCAAGTCCATCATTCATTGAATTAATTCCAATTTCATTCTGAAAAAATATATCTCTTATCCAACGAATAACCATTTCTTCTTACAAAACGTCAATGGATGAACAAAAATGTTTTGTTTTCATCATTGACTTATTCAGTCGAATTATTTCCGTCAGACAAATTGAATCAAAATAGCCATTGTCTAATTAACTTAGCCGACGTATATTGATCATATAAATACAGATCAATCTCATTTGAAATTATAGTATCAACTATGGATTCAATCTGTGATATTGATGTCGAATCACTGTTCTCAACCTATGGAGAAAAATATACGCATGAAATCGAGGTACAATATAAAATATTAGTCAATCAAATAGAAACAATTCTTTTTTTTCTAGGTATTGACACAACTAATTGAAATTTGTCTATTAGAAGATTCTATTCATAATAATCAAAACAAACAAGTTCTTCTTTCCAATCTCAAGAGACGAATAGTTATTAATTGTACTATTGAAAAATATCAAAGTAGAAAACTTTACAAAGCTGAAAAGACAATATCTATTTTCATATGCTTATTTTAGGTGTTCTTGATGATATTGAAATTTTTGAAGAATACGATGGTGTATTCGATGTAGAACTTGTTCTTGCAAGGGCGTAAGTCAATATTTTTTCCAATAGGATATCGTTCTATTTTTTTATTAAAATGTTTTTTCTTTATCTAGAGAAGCTCGTCTGGCTTTGTTTTTCAAATCAACTATCGGCGAACTTGAATATGCACAAAATAACTGTAAGTAAATTTTTTCTACTCATATTTGATAGAATGTTGTTGGATATATTTTATTGTTGTTTTAGATGGTCATAATTTCAAGAAACAAATTCGTTGTATCAAAGCAATCAATATTAGAAAATGGTTTGAAAAGTATGTTAAACACAAATTATTCTATTTAATTGAAAGATCACAATTATTGGTAGATAATTTCTATGATGAAACAGATCAGTATAATTCTTTTTTAAAAACTAGGTGCTCTTTTTTGTTGTAGAAAAGAAGATGTTAATGAAATGAATGATTAATCTTCAACGTCATCTCTTCAGATGGAAATATTGTTATTTTGTTTTTGTAAATTATTGTTGAATTCGTTATACATAGAAAGATAAGTTTGTAAATATGTTTTGGTAATTTTTGTTATTATTTGAAATAAATTGCATAAGTTTATCATTAAAGGTCTATGTACATGTTGGTATTATCCTTTTCAAACATATGATTATAGTTTGAGAGTACATAAATCTTTACTTTTGAAAGTGTGAATTTCTTGTGGGAAAACGGGATTAACAGACTTCGTAGTCGTCCTATGTTTCCTATAACCGCGAGGTTCTTTTCCCTACATAGTCGAATGTTACTCATTAATGTCTGAAACAAAGCATTTATCCCACACACTGCTAGATATACGTATGAATATTTCCACTAGAAATCAACTTGATTGTCGTGCGACGAGACTTCTCGATGTATGTGAAGCTGCAAACAGTCGTATAGTATAAATGAGCAACTCTTTCTTCTCAGAACCTCATTTGTTGTTGATCAATGCTTTGTCTCAACCTCTTCAAAAATTATCATATAAGCGTATATCTTATTTCCTTCACGTTTTATCCGAAAAAATAATTTGTATAAAAATCAACAATGTAGTTACATGTATAAAAAAAACTAAGTACGCTATGTATATATAAAGAAAATCGAAAACGCGCTCAATAATAAACAAAGTGTTTGATATCACATTTCAGAAACTTCGTCATTCTTTTTCTCCTTATTATTTCTACGAACAATTTTAATGGATACTTGACGTTGAACAGCACATATGATCATATGGTCCATATAGACATCTTTGTTTCTAAGAGATCGACGGCAAAGTTGACATTTAAATAATGTCTAAATGAAAAATACGATTATATTTTCGATCATGTTTATATACGTATAAAAGAAAAGATACCACTGTAGACGGCATCAAACAATTAATAGAATGAGATGATTTTGTAACTTTTGACATTATCGGTGAAACTCGAGGTGAAAGCGATAAACGTTCGTCACTGTCACTATCATTTGCTATTGTTGAATTATTAATAATTTTTCTTTTATTCGATACATCATCTTGGTCGGTGCGTTTTCTTTTGGTATGAATTGGCTTGTACCTAATACAAAAATGTTGACAGAAAATAGTTCCTTTGTTTTTAGGATCGACTTTAATTAACTATTACCCATTTTCTATTGCATTCGATAATGTTTGTTGTTCTAACCATAATGCTGCCATTCTAGCCAATAAATGACCCATAAATATACTTTTGAAAATTAACGGAAAAAATGTGACCAAAAGAAATGAATACAATGTGCTACTGTAGAAAATCAAGGGTTAAAATAGATTTCGAGAGAAAGAAAAAGAAATGAACGATGAACATTCAATTTGTCCTCGATAGCGTAACGTAGAGAAAGAAAGTGAATCCAAATAAAACACCAATAGTAATAAGATGCATTTAATTTTGATTGGAGTTTGAAAAAAAAAAGATTTCTTAGGAAATTGTTTGACATTTGTTTTTTCATAAGGTGCCACGAGCAGATATAACACGAAAATTTACAAGCACAATGCTTGTGATTCATCTATATTCTCATGTTTTCTCTCTTTCGAATATTATTTTTATTATAACGTTATTTCTATTTATAAACTCAATCAAATTATTCTATTCGACAGATAAACAATGGTATCGAATTAATATTTTTTTCGCAATAATATATCCCTAAATTGCTTTACAATGGATAATGAATATTTTCAAATGTGTACATTATTGTTTAACTTTATTATTTTAAGAATCTATAGCTATTCTTGTTAACATAATAATTGAGCGATTTTTAAACACAATCTCATTTTTTCAATATAATTGATTAAAAAATGTCATATTTTATATAGGTCATACAAAATAAATATGTCTATGTTTTTATCGACTCTAATTGTAATACAATTTATTACCAGTGAGAATGAGCTTGATATACATTGTCTCTTCGACCTTACAGAATGATCAACTATTGGATTCCTCTGATTTAATGATATCAATTTTCGATTATATGGTACTCATTGTTCCTTATTCTTAAGTATATGTGTTTTTTTTCTGTCGATTTTTTGAGCACGTCATATCATTCAAAAAATATGCTACGTATCTTTGTAAAAGTAATGAAACATGAATTAGATTCGGTGTTGATCTAATCGAAATAAGTTGAAATTAATGTGATTATATTATTAGTTTAAAAGCTATGGAAAAAAAGAAGTTGTGTTAGTTATGTTGAATTTTGGGATTAATCAAGTAACGGGAAAAATTATAATAATTTTCTTTTTTATAAGTTTCATGATTAATGAATTCATGTTCATGTGTTTGCAAATGATTTTGAACGAGATACTCGCGTAATTTTAACATTAACATTTTTTGTACTGTGGCTTGATAGTTTAACTTTATCGTTTTGTTTTTGATTATTGCTGTGCAATGAATTTCGTTGAACGCCACTTGACTTGAATGGTTCATTCGATATGCCATGACGTATGTTAGATATTACTGGTGGGAAATTTTATTAGGGTAATGTTATAAAACTTGCATGTGATGTTTGAGCCTTATTTGGTAAACTTGATCGATTTACTTTGCTGGTACATACTGAACCAGCCGAATCTATTGTTGAAAATGATTTATCTGATAGTTGTGTATTTTCTTGAGACAGAATATTGGATTTCACTACCTTGATAATATTACCATCTGGTGTCATTGACATTTCTCTTGGTAATTTTATCACGGTCACAAATGAAATAGTCTCAGTATTAGCTTTGTCAAGTGAATTTCTTCGTTACGATTTGAAGGCTTTTGTATTTTTGTTTCCTTCATTTGTCAACGGTCTGTCTATTCGGCTGATGCGAGTCACAGACTTAGTCGCTGGTAGATCGCAAATAGGGATTAGTCTTCAAGGTGCTAGCGCTCGTTGGTGCTCTGCGTACGGATGTGCTGTTCTTAGAACCGAATGGCTCAATCACGCAACTTTAGCGCGATAATTTATTCTTGAAAGGAAGTTGCATTTCAGTTGATATAATTGATGATTTTATTGTAGAGATAGATTCTGATCGATTTGAAAATAGACGTGCCTTATCATTCATCGATAAGTATTTACTTGGTTTCTTCTTGCTTTCTCTATCTGCTCGACGGCGACGACGTCTCCCAGCACTAAAGAAACAAAAGAACACATTCAATTTGCACAAGGCATTTATCGATTAAAATAAACTTGCAATAGCCACCACCACCACCAACAACAACAACATAAACTCAATAGAACTAGAAATGTTGCTGCTGTAGTTGTCCTCGTAAAAGTTATTGTAGCCGTGGTAATTGTTGTAGTGGTACTTGTTGTACTGGTAGTTGTCCTAAAAAGCAGAGAGTTGCATTAAATATTGGTGGAAGACAGGATCCGAAATCAGAGTTAGCATACTCATGGGTCTGAAAGTATGTCCCATATTATTGATATTGCGCAATAACTTACGTTGTAGTTGTGGTTACTGGAGCTTCGCCAGGGCCTATTAATGATAGATTTCATGATTAGATAAATAAAAATAAAGGTTGAATTAGATTTTTACATAAAAGAGAGGGACCAGCAGGAATAACTGTTAAATGTAAGGCAATATTGATCTGATTGTATTTGTGCGCTAAATGCAAGATAAAAAAAATATACCATGAATTCTATTATAAAACAACGTGTAGGTTACTTGTCAGTAGCAACAGCACAGTAAACTTGAGATCCTAACTGCATTGTTGTTGGTATCCATGTTTCAGTGATGGTCCATTTATTGCTTGCCACCGCAACAATGCTACCTTTAATCATGCAAAGTGGTGGCATTATAAAGTAGTATCACTACATCCTTGGACAACTGTCGATATAAGCGTAAATGTCTGACCAAACTACAACTGCTGTACATTCCGCTAGATCCGAGCTAATCTCAGGCTTTACTGGACAGACAGCGAATATCACAGCATAATATTGTCCTACCACTTTACCTTTGTTATTAAATGTCAACGTACAGCTTTTAGCATCTAACACACTGCCTGGTGCTGCTTGACAGACATCACCACATTCATCCAGTGCAGCTGTCTTACGAGCCCAACGCCAACTAATATATAAAAATCAATCTACTTTATGCACATAGATACTAGAAAACGTAAAAGCTACCTGGTATAGTTATTATCAGCATCGATCACCGGAATCGTTATATCAGTCAATGTATTTATTGAAACTTCGATAGCTAGACAAAAAGAAGAACATACGTAAGTATCGAAGAGTGAATGACTTAAGAGACAATTTCTCACGTGAAATAACGGTTGCAACTGGCGAAGTATTAATCAATCCATCTGGTCTAGGCGTCAAATCAACAGAAGTTCACATAGACCAACCAGCACTTGCACTGTAACAAGTGACTCCGGTTGTTGTTCCTGAACCACCAGAGTTGGATTTGGTCTTGCTTTTCCTTCTTCCACTTGAACCACAATTTGATGATTGAAGACCAATCCAACCGCTACCTTGAAAAACTACACAAAATGCAGAACCAGCCGTGATATTTTCAACAGTAGAAATTTGTCCTGAACTGGAGTCAGCGAGAGCGCTGAAATCAGTACAATATTCAGCTATACTTACTGCAGTATAAGAGCCACATGTAGTAGAAGTTGTAGTACATTGAAGGTTTGCATTTACACCGGATATTGTAGGTGATTCATTCACTATTGTGGACTGATCACAGGCTGTTGGCGAACTGAAAGAATGTTTCCATTGATACGATTCTGTGAACATGATAACTAATTTACCATTGCTATCAGTATTATCCACTGGTTTTCATGTCACGGTTCCACCATAGAAATGGCTCGCTTCAGTAGAGACACAACAGAGTAGTAAAACTATTTCTATCATATTGATATTGACAATTAATACAGATGTCATTTAAAGGAAATGAATGTAGCTATGTAAAATTCGTTACATCACGAAACTCACAGTCACATATGAAATGAATATATTTTTGAAGTTTTGCGATGGATAAGAAATAATATTTTCTGATTTTCTGAATAAATTATTCTCTGTGATCGAGAGAAGCCTTATAAACAATTGGTATGGACAACCTTTCATACTGCATGAGAATGCTCTTTTTACTTCAATGGACAAAAATAATTCGACGAGTTTGTGTTAAAAAAAACAGAAAAACATTCGAAAGAACAATTATTCTATGAATCAGAGCTCCTATGAACCAAATAAAGAGTAGTTCAGAGAACTTGTTGATTATGAGAAAGTCTTGTTTAGAGGATGTTTGTCTATGTTGTTGTTGGTAAAAAAAAAAAGATGATCCATAATTTCTCAGAAATCAAACTTTCACTAAAACAATCATCAATCTTTTGAACGATTATAAGGTTACTTAAGTGAATAGGTGCCGACTCAATTGGACAATTTGCTTTACATTCATGTGGAATGTGTTGTTTATTCACTGTTAGCAAATCAGTCAGTGTCTTTGTTTTTTTCTCTTCTGCGTGCAATGCACATTAATGATTTTATTATTTTTCTGATTATTCTTTGTTTGGAAGCTTTTCTCTTCCGTGGTTTTCTTTTCATATACATTACAGTTCTTAAAAAATTGGAGAAAAAAAAGAAGCCCAGGTACTTTTTCTTCTCGAAAAAGTCAACAGAATGTATTGTTGAACTGTAGTAACGAGTATCACAGGTGTTTGCATTTCATGTTTTGTGGGGGACCATACAAAAATGTCGAAAGGAAGTCATACTAGACTGTTTTTTCTTATTAGCACAAGAAACCGTATAAGTTTAAAAAAAACATATCTTTTTTTCAGTATTGTTTGTGATAAACCTGTTTACCTAATATTAAAATCGATCCAATTCAATAGATTTCATATTAAGATAATAATGGTGATACAAATACAATTAAATAACTGAATTTTATTTTTGATGATCAAGAAGAAAAATATTCTTAAAAACAGTAATTTCCTCCTTATCTCGGTAACTAAACAATAATTCAATTAAGTTTTGTCAAATTTCCGATGTGAATACGCATGATAGTGCAGTGAAGCTTTTATTCGACTCACATTTGTCATATCTTTTTTATAATCAAAATTTTCATATTTTCTGAAGACAGAATAATTGACAAGTCGCTTCTCATGCGCTAACAAAGAGCCTGTAGATTAAAAATTCTCAATACAAAAAAATAGTATTATGTTACTACTCTCATGTTTATTCCAAATCTAATAATAATTTCGCAACATATGCAAGATGTTGATATGAATAGAACTCCGTCAGGTAGACACTTCAGCAGGCGCATGACAACTATGAGATGAAAAATTATTCAGAAACGAAAAAGTATCATTTGAAGTAGAACTTAACCGTGTCCTCTGATCTGTTGTTATTGCTATCAATCAGTAGCTGATCTCGGTTGATTCAGATAATTTTTTTCTACCACCATCGAGTAGTGTCACATGTCCGAAATTTTGGAGATGCACCCACATGCTGAGTGATGCCCATCCCTCGCATAAGATGTCACCGTCTGTCGCTCCGATTATTTTTTTCCCTTAGAAATATGCAAACAGAATACTAATCATCATATATAAGTCTTTTACTGCTTTAACAAATAGAATGTAACTAATGCTCACTGTGAGTCAATCCATTGATTTCTAAATTTCTAAACAAGAAGGATAGCAGAAGATTTTAGCGCTAATTAAAAGATATTAAAATTAAAAATACGATAGAATAGTGTTGAATAGACCTATCGGATACTCACTAGAGCGCTGTTGACCTGACGGGATACGTATCAGTCGAAGTTTGAAATGCTTCCACGTACTCAACTCATCTAGATTTTTCTTTTGACAAAACATGTAGTGACGTACGATGCCAAGGAAAGAGTTCAAGAGGCTTAGCCATTCTAACCGAGAATTTTGATGTTGTCCTGACAAGCAGGCTTCAACAATAAAAAAATAGCACCCTCCTATTCTACTCGAATTCAGTATGTTCTTTGTTGTATTTTAATGTTCCATGCAGCTTTCATTCATAGTATTTGTTTTACTTCCGAAACCAACAGCACTCAGAATAAGTGTAGTTCTTCATGTGTTGTACTCTTTGTTGACTTTCGTTTCATGTAAGTCTGACATTCTACAATAGATTATTTTTTTTGTTGTCAGGAAGTTGTAGTAAAAGAATCATCGTAGTAGCACAAACAAAAATTATGTCAATAATAGACGAAGACAGATATATTGCCTGTGGCGGAAAGGACTTGTGCGATTTTATGATCAATCGACATGACTTTATGTGTCTAATGTTTATTGAAATATCTAGCGCTGAAAACATATTGCGATGTTATCCATCTTAGGTTTCATTTTATTATATTTTAGGAGGGAGATTACGTGAGATTATTTTTTCATTCATTGATAGATTAACTAAAGACACCAATCAATCACAGCGTTGGAAAGTGACAACATAAAAACACCAGGTGCTTCAATTTTGGTAATCTTCTTTGGCAAAAGAATATTGAATTCCAACTAGATGTGTGAAGCGAACCTCGTAAAAGTTGTCCTTATCATTATATTTTCACTCTTATTATGAAAGAACATACGTATTCCTCCTCTGGTGTTGAGCGACCTCTTTTGAGTCACCTTTTCCTCGTCTTCTGTCAATCAATTGGATAAAAATATGCAATGTGTTCCATGCATCCATATTTCCTTGTTTTTAACAATTTTTGAATTTACAGTAGTATCGCTCATTTTTTTGTGACTGTTCTTGTAATTGACAGATGACAAATTTTACATCATCCGCCCTTGTTATACACCATTCCAATCATGCTCATGGACATCAAACAGCGCCTGATGTTGTTGTCGATGCTTTACCGTATTATGATAGTGGATATGATGAACCGGGCGCACGTGAAGCGGTAAGTCAATGCTAACTTCTTGTTTCAATGCCTCACTACTGATCTGATTTTAGGCTCTGAGTTTAGTAGAAGATGAAACCCGCCGTTATAAACCAACAAAAAACTATCTTGAACAACTTGGTCAACCACTGTATCATACATTTGAAGTAATTTCGACATCGTAATTCAATCAAATAGTTTTTTTCATTTGTAACATTTTCAGACAGAAATAATGAAAGTAGAATTCGAACGACTTTCCAATCGATTACCTATGGAAATGTTAAGCATGAAACGGTATAGTACTAGAAAAGTCTTTTTTTCTAACAAATTTTACTTTATACTTTTTTTAAAAACAGCTATGAATTACCGGCACCACCATCTGGTAAACAAACTGATTTTACAGCATGGAATGAATGCGTTGAAAATTCTTATGCTCAGCTTGAACATCAACAAACACGGTATAGGAAAAGAAAGAAAAAATATCCATCAATAGAAAAACCAATCTTTACTTTAGAATTCTTAATCTTGAATTGATGTGGGATTATGGAGCAAATACATGGAAAATCTATAATACAACATTGCAAACAATGTTAGAACAAGCACAAAAACAATTGCTAGAACTTAGGTAAATCGGTTTTTTTCGAATTCATTTAAAACTATTTTTCTTCTGTAATCTTTTAAGAAAACATATTCAAGAAATTAATTTTCAACGTAAAAATGAACAAACACAAGCAGGAACTAAATTAAGTACACTCGAACAAACGTAGGTTAAATAGCGAATTTTGCTATTGTATTCTCATATGTCTATGTATATATTTATATAGATGGGTTGGTCTTGTTGGAAAAAATTATGAAATTGAATGTGCTATTAATGAACTAGAAAAAGACGTTGGAAGTATACGAAAACAAACAAAATCGAATGGGATTGTAGCATCGGAGCAATGAGAGATTCGAAAGAAAAAAATAACATTGTGTTTTGTAAATTTTTTTGTTGTCTTTGTTAAAACTTTAAAATAAAAAAGAGAACATTCTTCGTGAAACTAACGAGAATAAAAAGGCGAGCTTCAACGAAAAGAAAGTAGTGTAGTCGAATTTGATCCATTTCTATATAAATGATAATGAATATGATTTACATTGTAGATGAAATGATCCGGTTCGGTTGGATAAATAGTTTGTTAGGCAGTTGTCTAATTTCTTTATGTTGTCCATGTTGTTTCTTACCATTATTATTAAATTTATTCGGTGTTGGATGCGCTGGATTAAATACTTTTCTTTCACCCTATCGACCTGTATTTATTTCACTTACTGTAATTTCGTTGACTTATTCATATTTTCGTTATCGTCCATCAAAATGGCAATTTACCGGGATTATTATTTTAGCAATATTTCTATCATTTTCACCTGATATTATTCGTATGTATAATAATCAATCGTCGACTAGTGACACATTAGATAGAAATCTTATTGTAACACATTGGCAAGTAATAGGAATGCATTGTGAATCATGTCGTTCGGCTGCTATTCGATCATTCCAAAAAGTGAATGGAGTTCTCAGTGTTAATGTTGATCTAGAAACTGGCCAAGCGGATTTAATTGCAACTGTTCCTATAGACGATGATGTTATTATTCAAGCTGTAGAATCGGCTGGTTTTCAAATTTATAAAATGATATAAAATTCTACTATATCCACTAATGTTCTGAAAACTTCTATGATTATATTTTATTACAAGTTCTCACTTTCTATAATTATTTATGAAATATTGTTTTTTTCTTTGTAAAGTGTAATCATTATTATAAAGATAAATTCTGCTTTTTACTCAAATGAAGTTGGGCTTTGATAATAATTTAATTATCAGCAACACTAAACAAAGTGGCATTACTTCTGTAAAAAAAATAGTCCATTCTAAATAAAAATTCATGACATTCATAGAAATATATGAACGAGAACGTATGATAGATTTTCGTTGAACATCTTTAAAATTATGATGTTTGAATAACACTTCAAAGATTGTATCTGCTATTTCAATGCGTTTTTATCAACAAATTCCAGATGCCCCAGAAAGAGCTAATATGAAGAACGACTGTTGAGGGTGAACACGTATGAAAACAATCTCTCAGAATTTTATCAAAGCGCAATAGTACATCTGGACTATGCCTTTTTTTTAGGAAACTAACAGATTCCACTCTGAATTTTTAATAGTTGATGTTAAATATCACGTAGAAAATTATGAAAGTACAGCGACATATATGTCAAACATTACTAGTTCTTCTAAGCTTCCGCCGTGATTTTTCTTGAGTGGTTGAAAGTTACTTAAAGAATCAATAGTACTCTTCGATAAGTTTCTTCTCTCTCCACACTCAAAACTTTGATGAGTGCCGAGGTGTCAAAATGCATCCGAGAAGTCGGAAATGAAAGCTCGATGAGATATAGTTTTTGACTACTCGAAATCTGATGGACAACAATAAGCTTGGTATACAACTCCTACTTAAATTATATTATGTTGACGTGATTTGAAAATTCAGATAAATAACAGAAATATCTACGATTTGAACGCGAACGAAAACTATAGTCTGTATTGATAAATAAACCTGTAGACTATAACATCTATTATACTGCTAGCTGCAACACTTGGTAATATGTATCATATTCTATAAGGATGAATTTTTCTAAGTCAAAATGAACTCCCAAAAGAAATAACCAGCTGTAGTGCCGTTCATGTATCCATAGCAAGTCTACAAGAACCACTGACCCAAAAATAATTTCAATATGTCCCATATCTGTCGAGTGTATTTTCTTACTTTATTTGATAGTGACTAGAAAACTTCAAATATTCTTGATTAAAGTCTGCCTATGAAATCTGATTAGGTAGCGACATCTGGTATACGTGACCAAAATTAGTCTGACAATATGGTGATTTTGTTTTATTTTGAATTTTACATTGACATACCACTCGTTTCATGTCAATCAACGGTTAGATAATTGAATGATTGATTGGCACAGTAATTGGCTGAATATGATTTTAAGTTATTTCAATATGCAAATAATATCTTGCAACACAATCGATAGATTGTCTCATGTCATGAGAAAAGAGTCATTTAAAATAGTGATTAGGAAAGAAAAAAAAACAAAGAACTTATCATCATTTGACTAGCAATCGTTTGAATGTGAGTAAATACGTTTGTAATAGTATTTTATTCACTACTCTATTTTAATGATTCAAGTCAGTTCAACAGCTGTTACGTTTACAGTTAGTTTTTCGTTCGTATTGGCTTTTGACCAATTGCGATTGTTAACTTAGTTTTAGATTGTTTTTCTTTCGTATATTTGATTCTATTCAGAACTTTTAAGATAACTAATTTTTTTTTATCATTTATACGGACATATTGCTTCCTGTATATTGTTTTCGCACTATCTGGGAGCGTAGACGATGAAGTTAGCTGAATTCATTTAATGATAATCATAATGATAGATTTAATTCATGCCCGACGACTTTCACGATTAATATTTCTTCTTCTATTCGGTGGCCACCTACTACTAGATAAACAATATTTTTGCTTCGCCAGTCGTGTTGATGAAGGTAAGCTTGTGCCATTTTCCATATCGATTCTTTACAATATGCGTCATCGACTAGACCAAACATAGAATTTGTCTCAGCCATGTCATTATTATTTGTTCATGTGTCTCCTACTTGGCTTATCTTATTTTTCATGATGCTGATTAAACACCTATTATTATCAATAAAGTGCAGTTCAAAGAGCACACGTCTTGCTATTTTCTGAATTTAATATTCTCTCATGAAATAGAAACTTTTTTCAGTTGTTGTTTTGTCACTTGCGCCGAGACAAAATGCACAATAAGAGGCGCAAGAGATAGAAAGAAAAATAATATATATATATATATCTCATCAAAAAGTCTCGTCATTACTTTTCTTGATGAAATCGAACTTTAGTGCGTGAACAGAAAACTAAAAGTTAATTATTTTAATAATCAATATAACCTTCTGATCATAGAACTGTGTATTTAATGTTAATTTTAAGATAACCCAATGATAATTTAATCTCGTTGTTCCTGACAAATGTCGAGTACTATGCTGTTGCAGTATGCGTTAGAGAATCGAACCAGTGTTGTTGCCTCAAGCTGTAATTTCTTTTTCTTGTTTTTTTTGTCTCTTATACGCAGTAGCGAAGCACGCGCAACTTTTTCTTTTTCCTTGGAAAGCCCATATTATGAACGTCATTCATTGTCGGCCGGAGAAAAAAAAAGATCTAAAGATAGCGAGAGAAAAATAGAAATTCTCGTATAGAGGAGAAAAAAATCTGAACAAAAACAAGAAGACTATCGGACGAGTTCTACATGCTGGCAACGACAGTATACTGTTTTGTGTGCGTGTGAACCAACATACACGCTTGCAACGTTACCGGTGAAGATATTCATTGTATTGAAGTAATATTATATTTATATATATATATATATATACATACACACATATACATACACGAAAATAACGATAAAAATGAAAATATTTATGAGTCTTAACACTGCTCTATTCATTCTTGTTGTAACAACAACAATTGACGCTTCGCGTATTTTCTATCTTCCTTTACCAAAAATACATTCATCACATCAACGAATAGAAACGCCAAAGCCTATTGAAGAAACAACTAAAAAACCAATAAGCGATGAATTTATACCACCGTCAGTCATTGAACAAGACGAGATTGAAAGTACGTTTTATTTATTTATTTATTCTTCTCTATTTAACTTTAATTCCAACATTTAGTTTCAAAATAGTAAAAGGAAAGAAACCCAATCAATTGATTTCCGTTTGTAATATATAACATGTCGGAAAATCTAAATAGATAGAGAATAGAAACAATTACTATCTACGCTGTGCCTTGCGATAGCCAAATATTTGGTGATGAACTAATAAAAATAATAAAACCAGCTTCTGCTAATAGCTAAAAATAATCGTTGATGAATAATTTTGCTGAATATTTCCTTTTGTTTTTCTTTTTTATAGGACGAGGAGACGATTTTGACTGGGAAACATTGATAGATCAAGAAGCGCCAATAAAACGTCGAATAACTGTCAATGAAGTTTTACCTGGTAGGAAGAAAAATTTATCGATTTTGAAAATTATTGTTGTTTTTTTTTTAATATAGAAAGCCCTAAATCATTGCCTGAAGGATTTCCATTTGAGGAACCGATTAAAAGTAAAGTGAACGATGATAGTGAAATACAAGCAACCGTCAACGAAAAATCTCAACTTAATAATCAGCAACTTCTTGAAGAACCATGGATGGCAGATAGCGCTCATGCACGCGCTGAACGTTTACAGTCGAATCCAGCGCTAAATGCTATTGAAAGAAAACAACGCCGTAATGATACATTATTCATTAGTAAGTTTCTATCAAATATAGAAGTTGAAAGAAATAGAATTGCATGACATCAATAGTAATTCATGTTTGAAAGAATTATTTTCTATGAAGAAATCGTATAACTACTTATTTCTTTCTCGATTTGAACATGTCGAATGCATTGTAAATAGTTCATAGCCGAGACGGAACTGATCTAGAGTTTTGACGACTTACATTGACTACTTTTTCATAGCATTCATTGCAAAAATACGGTAGTTTTCATTGTTAAATTATTAGTAGAAAATTTTCACATGAAGAATATTAGTCTATTTAATTAAGAAATTTCCATAATGAAAGTGCTACGGGCAACCTAAAAAACAGGTCAAATTTTAGAATAAATTAATAAAATGATAGAAAAACAATTAAATAGGAGAGATTAGAGACCAGCTGTTAACCTATACTGAATCGATCTTGATCTCAGAGCATATCTACTGTCAAAATTTTCATAACAGAAGTTTGATGGAAAATTTTATATCCGAGAAAAAAGATTGAATATATTTCTGGACGTCCTAACAAATTTTATTAATTATAATAATTAATATTCTGCAAAGATATCAGATTAAGTGAAAAAAATCCAGGATCATTTTTTAGTATCAAATATCTTGATAAGAAAATATTGACGTAAGATAGTTTATCAGGTATGAAAAACTTCATTTTAACTTCAATTAGTAAAAAGCAAACGCTCGTGATTATTCAATGCTTCTAGATTTTTATGTAGAAATTTATCTTTGTTGATGAATATTTTTTTATTTTATAGTGGTTGTTGGAACATGCTGTTTAGTCGGTGTTGTGGGCCTCATTGCGGCAGCTATTTTCTGGTATAAGTAAGTAGCACATCCCGGAATTTTAGAAGAAAAAGATTGAATGATTGTCGCTTGATTAATCTCTATTCAGAATTAACTAAAGACGATTATAGAAATGAAAAACTCTATAAAATATTTTCTATGTTAACGGAATGTCATTAAAATGAAAAAAAAACATTTCTGATCTTTGTGAAACGACGACAACGAGTCATGGTGGCAAAGAAAAAGAAAATGTTACACTAATATGATTATTATCATAAAAAGCATTCATAAATTTACCCTTACGGCACTTTCCTGTAATAGGAATGTATATAACTTAAAAATGAGCTCCAATTAGTTAATCATGTATCTTTGAAAAATTTTTTTTTTAATATTTACGAGTTGTTTTGACAATTTCTAATAAATAGACAGAAAGTGTTTGGTATTAATATAGAATAGAACTCGTTTTCGAGACGATGAATTATTGATCATTAATGCGAAATGAGTCAATGCGCGTCTTACGAATGTCAAATATCAAACACAAAGAAATTTTCTTTTTTATTAATAGGATTCAAAAGCGAGCGGAAGCAGCAATCGATGCAGAATATCCATCGTACGGTGTTACAGGACCTAATTCTACTGTTAGTAAAATCTCGCCGAGTTCAACAATGTCTGATCGAAAATTGGCTCAAAGTGCACAAATGTTTCATTATCAACAACAACGGCAACAAATGATGGCGCAAGAAAAGTATAATTTATAATATTAACATATTTCTTTTTGGTTTTCATAGTAAAATGTGTTTCGTTTTCTAATTTTAACAGAGCTCATCTAGATGCAAAACCAGTACATTCAGATGATTCCGACGATGAAGCACCAGCTGGTGGCGATTATACAGTATATGAGTGTCCTGGTCTTGCTCCTGTATGTTCTATAGATATTCTATACGATAATATAATTTTTTCTTTCGCTCTAGACTGGAGAAATGGAAGTTCGCAATCCGCTGTTTGCTGAACCTGATTCATCATTAATATCATCAACACCGAGCTCAAATCCAGCAATAAACAATCATTATCCTCAACTATCATCATCACCAACCAAAGAGAAAGTATTGCCTTGAGAAAATATATTGCATTCAACATTCCCACTCTTCTTGGTGATCGGTCGTCTCTTTTGCTCCTTTTCCCTTCTTCTTGAATCGTCCAACAGTCTACCGAAATGCATTGGTTATAAGTTTCATTTAATGATTTCAACTTTTTGTGTATCAACAATTCTAACAGTGACAACTTCTCCTTCTTCTTTAAGACAATAAAAAATAATATACCAGTGAAGTGACCATCACATTAGATTAACTAAACTTATGCGACATACTTTTGATTTACTCAAATCTTTATTTGAAGCAAACCTGCAGTATGTGTACTTCCGCCATTAGACACATGTACGACGATATTCTTTTCGCTGAATTACCAAAGGGTTTTTACTGAAAAATTAAAACGTACAGTTTCGTCATAGAACGATTTGCTACCAAATAGGATGAGTGAATCTTATAATGCTGATTAGAATTTCATGATATTATTTGATTTATCCTATCAAAAAACACTTGGTAACTTGAATTTTTGAATACAAATACCGTCGGATGGAAAGTTTACGAAAATAATTTTAATTCAGTTTGACGAAGTGAAACCCTTGATTGTTACTTGAGAATTTTACCTAAAGTTCACTAAGCACTCGATATGACCCGAGACGTTCGCTACGACTGAGAATGACTCCTTCCTTCATGAACAAATATGAAAGCATTCATGATTCTATTGACAAAAGAAAGAAATGTCAATGTTTTGATTATCTATATTTACTTCAGCTAAAACTCACGTATACTCATTGAGTTTTTCTCGAAACCAACGATTTCATTCATTTATAGAAAACGGTTTTGTTCTCAAAAGACAACAACAGCCTGACTAAATGGATGCAGTAAAAAGAATTTAACGAGTAAATAAAAAAGTATTTTTAGTAGTAGGCTTGAGATCACATTTATGTTTGTGCTACAAGATCCAAGTCATTATGAGTAGAATCGTTAAGTAATCTTTTTCTTCTTCTTCTAATAAAACATGATAAAGTGTTTTAATAGTTTGTAACAAAAGGACATTTTCTATATTTGGTAACAATAATGGAATAATTACAAATTTAAAAATATTTCTCATTCAAAAATGCACTCAATTCATAAATAATACTTTGGATCATTGAAACAATCTACTCATGGCTGTATGTTATGCACTTATTCATTCATGCGCTGACGCAAGTTACTGTTTTAAATATCTAAACTAAAACAAAAAGACATTTTTTCTATTGAATTAAAAAAAGATAAAAATTTGCGATAGTTCACTAGAAAATTTAACCATGATCTTCTATTAAATGAGTTCCTCCTTGGTTCAACTGATGTAAGCCTTATGCATAGTATTTATTATGAAATAAAATGAAGGATGTAAATATTTAAAAAAAAACTTGTTCAGACTACACCACACAGCAAGCGCGCATTTATGATTTAGTCTATGTCGATTAATTGAACTAGGCTGTTTTGGCACAATAACCAGCTGTTTGATTGTTGCATAAGTTATCATAGCAGCATAAATAATGTTTAGCATCGCATTTTAGATTTTTATCGAGTGATTCACCAAATCCGAAACCACCACGAGCAACAGCAGTACCGGTTTTGGGATCGAATTTCTATTTTAATTTAGAAAAAAACAAAAGATTCAGAAATAATGTTTTTGTTTGATTTCATACCGTATAACAGTATAAATTCTTGCCACCGAAAGCACCTGATGTACGGATTTCAGATCCGTCAAGTTTTTCTGGTTTACAGCCTTCAGCACCTTTACATTGATAACACGCTTTTACTTCTTTCTTTGTTGATATTTTAGCTACATGAGGAATGTTTCCGTTGATTTTTGAATATAGAAATAGGACAATAAGAATACAAACCTGGTGGTGGACAAGGAGCTTTGGTATGTTTGTTACAGAAAGCTGTTCGACAACATGTATGAAAACGATCTCGACATTTGAAATTTTTGTCATACGTTTCGCCAAGTCCATAGGCACCTCGTTTAATAACAGCTCCGGATTCGTTGAATCGCTTGAAAAGCAAAAAAACGATTTTGCTCGTAAAATATAGCAAGAGAATTTAGGGAAATACTACCGTATAACATGTTAAAACAGCAGCGCCGAAAGCTCGTGACGTTTTTGAAGCATATTTTTCAAATGGTACACCATTACATTTGGTTATTTTTTCACCGAAAATTTTCAATTTACTGGATGGATTTTTATCGTCACATTGATAACAAATCTTAGCTCCAGCAATGTCCAAGCAAATGAAAACTACTGTATTAAACGTCAATATGCGAAATAGAAATATTTATGTTTTCTACAAAGAAACTTACAGTAAAAAACAGTAGTGAGCAAAGCTAGTTTATTTATCATCTTATTCAACGTAAGGATGTGCTGCTATATTCTGAATATGATTTAGGCTTATAGATGGATAAAAGAAAACAGTTGCTAGCTATATTATATGTATTTTCCTCCTCCTCCGTAACGCTAATATCAACACTAATAAGATAAGCGTCAAGGTCTCCATCGGAAAACGACCTATTGAGTATCATATACGTAACGAGACCATAACTGCCCGATAGCAAGACGCATGTTGTGCCACTCAGAGAATATATGATGATAGATAATAGATTAGTTTTTTCTTAGATACATACAGTAGACTGAATCAAGTGTAATTTGTTTATACTTTTTTGTATTTTTTCATATCATGTGTATAACATAAGAAGAGAAGAAAACTTAAAAAGAACAAAAAACAAGAATATATGATTGTCTATCATGGTGATTTGCGTAGAGATGAACCCTAAAATGCAGAAAGAGACTGAAAAATATACTAAGATGAGAAAGAAAAACGCTTACAAATACTGGCGGACCTTTACGAAATAAACAACACGTGCCACGACCAGCACCACCGATAAGTTGTAATGTTCGAATTTTCATTAGATTTTTCCTATAAACACATAAATAGAATATGGAGACGATAATCTAGAAAAAGCCACTTCATCTAATAACCGCACATGAAAATAGAGATAAGAAGGCTAAATAAATCTAACTTTGATGCACGTGCTCTATAGATAAATAGAGAACATATTTACGTATATGAACTACAATCGTCTATCGTCATAGGGGGAAACTTATTTTTAGATGATTTCATAATTTATGTCATGTAATATGCAAATATAGTGAGGTCAAGCAAACACACTAGTGCACAAACAAGTATAGAATAGTTTCGACTGCAGTGATATTTAGTTAATAATGTCACATTTTTCTTACCATGACTAAGATTTAACGTCAGCGTTAGAACATAATTGTTTCTAACTGGCCAGATTATATTATGATACTGTACGTGTCTTTAATTTAGGGCTTTCTGCCGACCCCTTCGGGTAAATTAATGTCATTGATGACAAATTGATGCCAAATTAATTGCTCAAAGCACGTAATTATATAGAAACGACAAGAACTATCATCTGCAAAGAAAATATTTGTCGAAATAGATTAATAATCTGGTCATGCTATTCATCTTAAGTCGATATTTTTAACGCACGTGGCATTATGTGATATCAAAATACTAACTGAATACTAAACTATCACAACTTTATTTTGAATTCTGGGCATTTTAAGAAATCTCTAAATATTACCTCACTTTTTGCTACATCAGCTTTGATAATTCCGAAAAACTTTTTCTCCACGAATGCGCTCAGTTTCTTATGCAGACAATGTCAATGCACATTATAAAGCGTTAAAGTGAATATACTTATTCGAGATCATTTAAAAATCGACGAAAAAAAATCTTATCTATGCATTTGAAAAATTGCATTTTTCTACTGAATTATTTATCTTGATCAATGAGTCCTATAAAAGCTTGTCATCAATCATATCGGTTTAGGATGCGAGAGTGATCGAACACAGAGAGTAGAATTTTACTGTTTTTAAAAATATAAAAGCGGCTTTATTGACTTCCTGTGATATTTTGAAGGGGCGAAAACACGCCCATTGAATTAGACTTGATTTATTCGCATGAAAAAGTTTTGTTCAATCATGTAAACTAATTAAACTTTTTCCAGTAGTATGCGTTAAGTCATTTTTGTTCTTTTGCCTATTTTTAGCTACAACTAGAATATTTGAACTTAGCAAATTAAAGTCAACTATTAGTATCAATATATATATATATTGTTTCAAATTTTTCAAGTAGCAATCCTGTCAAAGTAAAACTCACGTTAATTCATCTGTTTCGACCGGATGAATCAAACCATCATTAGCGTGTTCTTTGAAAGCATCTTGAATAGAATAAAATGAAATTACTTTTTTCTCTTCCCGTAAAATTACACTATAAACATACGTGCTTGTTTGCTAACCGATAGAGCTGTGTTAAAGCTATTTTTTATTATTAACTGACTCGTTTCTTCGACAGGTTGAAGTTGGCAAGAATCATTCTCAATATCTTTATGTTGTTTCGCATGTAAATACGGAGTATGCGATGGTGAACTCGACGATCTTCTCAATAGAATATCCAAAACTTGAAAAAAGAGAAATATCAAACAACAGAAAATACGAACTGAGCCGAAGTTGATTGTTCCCTGAAAATAAAAAGTGATAAATAATCTATGATAGGCAATATTTTGATTTGTTTACTTGACTGCAGCCGTTTTTTCTCGTCGTTCGCGAATATCATCTAATGAAAATCATGAGTCATATGAACAAAAATTTACAAAAAGAAACAAAGCCGGATTCATACCATCCCAATCTTCAGTAACAGTCACATCATTAAACATTTTCCAATCGGTTGGCGCTGATGATCGGCGACAATTATCAATCCAAGGTTGACTTGGTGCTTGAAAATAGATATGAATATTTTCTATCCTACTCAAATGACTTCTCAATGGACAAAACTTACAATCATCGGACAGACCAATTAGAACAGTACTTCTGTCGATTGCATCAGGACATGTTGACATATGACTGAGTAAATCGTTTGGTGTTGTTAAATGATTTGCATTAAAAACACAACGAACACGACGAATATGAGGATTCGCCTAGACAAATCAAATTCATATATTACGACAGATGATGAAGGGATGTATAGATATGTTTTAGAATAGAAATACCCAAAATATTCTTAACTTACAATTGTACATCGTCGAATATGATATTGAAATCGTTTTGCAAGTACTTGATGATTAAGATCGATTGGACAACGCCAAAAATCTATTATCGAAAAACATATCCGATATTCTGAATCAATTTCAAAAAGATTAGTTTACCATCGGGACACAAATAGAGACTCGACATTTGCTTAAATTTTATATATCGTTCCTATTGAAAAAATATATATATATGCGAACAAGTGACTGACAAAGGAAAAGAAAATTAATACTGCGCAGAAAAGAAAATCAGAAACTTGATGTTCACGTGTTACGTCGAGGGCCTCAAGTGAAATTACGTGATATAGTAGAATAACATGAATTTATATAATTACGTTACCACAAGATCGTGTTACAGGAGAAAAAAACAATCAACTATTTGAAGAATCTCGACAACAAAGATCCGTATGTTTGATTAAACAAATCTCAATCTGAAGCCGTTCTAGGTTTTGCATCACTTTCAGGAAATGATTGGTACTTCTTACATTTCGCATACAAATTTCAATATACACGTGGTTCGAAATAATAATCGTGATAGTACAAAGAAATGCCTGATAAAATTGATTTTTATTATTTTACAGATACCATAAAAATTGATTTTTATTATTTTACAGATACCATAAAAATTGATCTGTTGAATTTAGTACGGCAAAATTTGAATTAAAGATAAGTGTAAGTACTAAGATCATATGTATATATCCGTATTTGAGCTTTTCTTCGAACTAAAATGATGAATTCAATGATAAGATTTTTACTTTAAAACTGAATTACGTAAACTCTATATAACGTACAGATGTTTCTTGAAGATCATGAGATAACATCAGAAGTATTGTCCTTTTTTCTCATGATGTAAAGAAATATTTGTTACCACTCAGCTTTGAGTGATAAGACTCTAAAAAAAACTTTTTTTCTCATATATTCATCAAAAAAAGAAACCCACATGAACAATTAAAGTAGGCCATGTCTTGTATTTCACTTGGAACTGAATTCGGTTCAATGCATACCAACTAGCCATAGACATTTGTTTGACAATTGATGATTATGAATTGTCAATAGAAAAGAAAAACCTAGAAATAAACGTCTCAAAAAGCATGTTTATCAACTTGTCTTAAATTACCTTTTCAATCAAAGATACAAAGCAATAAATTGACAATGGTATTAAATGGCACTATTCTTCGTTCATGCTTAGACACGTATAAAATTGTAAACTATCAACGCTACAAAAGTTTAGTGTCAAATATCATTTCGACAACTTTGTTTATACGTGTTGAGTAATTTGAATCTCGTATTTACTGATGAATTACTACGAATAGAAGCAAAATTCAATGGTTCATTTGATAGAAAATTTTCACTAAGAATGACGATGTTGTTTTACACGGTCGTAATCATCTTTTTATTATCTCTACTTATGCCGATGTGCTTATCATTTGATAATACGGCTCGACTGTACGATTCATTTGCAGAAATTCATCAAGAATACACTGGACCCATGCGGTTTCAACAAAACGATTGGAATAATATCAAACATGAAAGTATCCTATTAAGATCATCCTCAGACAACAACGCCAATGAAACTATTACTCTATTCGAACGACGAGTCTTACGCATTGCCATGAACATGACAGGTTGCGTATAAAACGACGAACACAAATTTATGTTGATTATCGAAATGTTTTTTTTTCTAGGTAAAAACGTTCTTGTACGTCGATATCCGGAACATAAAAAACCGGTTGTCTGTGAAATAATTAATGAAGATTATAGTTATTCACTTGTACGTGAAATTGAAACCGGACATTATTTTCGTGTCCAATCGAATCTTATCGAATATACTGACGAACCACAACCCAATACAATCTATGAAGTTTCGTTTCATCCACTACCGGCCAATGATACTTTCATTGTTAGTTATGTTATTAAAAATATTCGTTGGCAAGCACGTTATACACTTCAAACATATCCTGATCGTTCGACGCGTTTTCAAATTATAGTTGATATTATTAATTCAAGCCCATTGAATTTTCATTTTAATCAAACTCATCTAATGGCAGGCGACATCGATCTTACATTTGGTACAAGTTCATCATTAGTTGATTCAAAAACGCAAACAAAAGACGATATTGATTACAGTGGTATTAATCTATTTACATGTATCAATAGTTCACTCGCAATTGATCCTTATTCTATACTGACACTACCGATTGAATCGCCTAATATTCAAATTAAAACTATTTTTACGTATAATCTTATTATAAGTATACCATCGCTGGTATTAAGTAATACAACATCGATGATTTCAAATAAGCATAAATTACAACGTGTTTATCAAATATCCAATAGTTCATTATTTTTACCAACTGGTCATTTGATGCTCTATGATTCATCGTTGAATGTTCTCACTGGCGAATGGCATTTACCGACATTAACTGAATTCGAAAAATATGAATTTAAACTAGGTGAAGATCCCGATATTATGCTTGAATATAATCGTACAGCAACCAATGATCAAAAAATGAATTCATCAATCATAACAACAAATGTTCTAGTTCAAAATTATAAACAACGTCCAATAAATATTCGATTTAAATCGACATGTGAATCATCGATGATTTGTCTATATTATGATGATAAAGCACGTTCACTTGGATCGCGTCTAAATTATGAACTTTATCTTAAACCAAAGTCCGAAGTACTATTTTCATTTACGACCATAAGACTTCTTTAGTTTGAATTTTGTTTTTCTCTGCGTGAAATTTATCTCGATAACTCATTGTTCGTTTGATATTTGCTGATGTCTAAAACACTTGATAAATGAATGATACAGTTGTAACGGAAGAAATAAAAGTACAATTTATTAGAGAGAGAGAGAGAGAAGAAGAAAAAACAAGCATCGATAAGAATATATTACCATACAAATGTGAAGAATAATCTTGGAATGTAATTTTGCTTCTTGTAATCATAAAAAAATAAAGAGAAGATAAGTGCACGGTTACAACGAAAACATGTTTTTTTTCTCCGTCAGGTATATATGTGCGTATACATCTCCTCCTATCGGCCGACGATAGGTAAAGTATAGAATATATAAGAGTTTATCAAACGAAGAACTCTAGGCAGTATAAGTTCACTTGATTGTTTGTAACAAAAGCAACCAGATAATTTAATGATAAAAATGATGGCAAGAATTAATTTAAGAGCAGCAGCAAACAATGATTGTATTATAACTGATGATGGTGACGAGGACCCATATAATTTAGATCTTCATATTGTATCGGTTTTTGTTCTATTAATTGTATCTTTATTGGGCACTGTTTTTTCAATTATTACGACGCGCATTGAACGCTTACGTATCAATCCGATTATAATCGAGACAGGAAAATTTTTCGGTAGTGGGTACGTTGAAAATGCATCAAACAATAAACGAAAGAAATATTTTTACCATCTATTTTCTAGAGTCGTATTAGCAACAGGTTTCATTCATATGTTACCACCTGCAATGGAAGCCTTAACACATCCTTGTTTGCCAGATTCATGGAATGTCTATAGTGCTTATGCTGGTCTCTTTGCTATGTTAGCTGCACTTGTAATGCAATTTATTGAGTTCTCTGCTCATCAACGATATCAATCCAGAGTTCAACCAATATTCAATAATAAAAATGGTGAATCTAAAAACCAAGAAAACATTGAAATGGACTGTTCAGTAAGTCGGAATGGGACTATATCTGCACAATGCGATAATACAATTAATCATCATCACCATCACCACCATGGCGCTGCTTTTCATGATGATAATCAATCCAACAAAATAAGTACATATCTACTTGAATTTGGTATAGCTCTTCATTCAATTCTCATCGGTGTAACGTTGGGCGCCACTAGTGAATCTTTTGTTGCTCTATTTATTGCACTTGGTTTTCATCAATTTTTTGAAGCAATTGCATTGGGTGCACAAATTGCTCGTCTAGATCGTATTTCATTACAGTCCATTATTCTTATGGTTGTAGTTTTTGTATTAACAACTCCAGTTGGAATTGCTATCGGCATTGGCATACATTTTACAGCATATAATCCCGATTCAGTAGCCGCATTGCTTATCAATGGTATTCTAGATTCAGTCTCTGCCGGTATTCTTATATATGTAGCTCTTGTTAATTTAATCACAGTTGAAATGGGACCCGGAGCTCGTTCTTTTCATTCATTAACCAAACGATTAAAACTATTATATTTTGTTTCATTATATGCCGGTGTCGCAGCCATGGCAGTTGTAGGAAGATGGGCTTAAACATTAAAAAAAAACTTTGTTCTATTCTCTATTGACACTCTAATGAATAATTATTTGAAAAAAAATTAGCAGTTTTCTAATGAACATACCCATTGACTGTCTGAAAAGGAATCGACGACTTTGTCCGCATCATTCGAAGGCGTTATTTCTATCGATAATTCAAATATATGACACTCCTTATATATCGTAAAATGCTTGTGTTTATTCGAATTTCGGGGTGCCGGTATCTAATAGTGTGCACCCCTGTTCGCGTTCTTATCTAAACAGAAACAAAAAAGGTTTTCTTAAACTTGATCAACGAAAATACAACTTGCTTGTAACATACAGATCTTGAGCCGTACTCAAAATTTATTACACACGAAATCTTTTTTCACATATATTAGTTTCATTGTGAAATGATGTTTCTGAATATTCTATAGTCAACTTAACTTGCTTGCTTATGAATTCATAATAGTTCAAGTTTGTCTGTTCAAACGAAAATTAAATTTTACAATGCAAATCATATCCATAAGCTGATTTCGTTTAATAAAAAAAAACGAATTCATTGTATCCAAATTCGAAAACATCTGATATTTTTCGAAAACAATATTTTGATCGACATATAAACAGATAAGAAAAAGCCGAGGAACTGACATTTCAAAGTCCAAATTTATTTCTCTGAAGATAAGTTTATGCTCTTAGTGAGTTATCAGTACATTTACACTATATACTTAAAAGAGCGAGAAGCATCAAAAATTGCCATAGTAATCATTCAATTGAGCGATTCCGACATACTCGTTCTTATCACGCCGATTACAACCGCATAGCTCCGATATGCGCACCTATTTCAAAATCAATAGAATACATTCATTTTTCAAGTCACAACTCGTATATTTATGTGAAAAAATTTATTGAAGTGACTAAGTAGAAACGAAGAATTAAAAAAGTTAGAGAAAAATACACATAAGGCAGATCAATAGAAAGATGGAAAAGAGGTATACGACATTGGATAATTCGGATAAACAGATGACCCACTTGGTTGATAATAAAATTGATCATTAAATGGATAATGCACGCTATTATTTGCTGTATAACTTAACGGCGATGGCATTGCCCAATAATCTAAAACATCAAAAAAGCACGTTTCCATCTTAAATGTGCACTCAATTTAACACTTACTCGCTGCCGGACTGGATGTGACAGAAGGATCGAAGCTGCTCTCATTAGCAGCAAACTGTTGCATATCAATAGGAGGTGATGCAAGAAACGATGGTACTAAATTTTCTTCGTCATGTTTCACTGCTGGACTAGCAGGTGTTAATGCCGATTTTTTATTCCGCGCTCGACGATTACTAAACCATACTTGAATGCGATTTTCTTCAATATTTAAACGTTGCGAAAGATTTTCCCGCGTTGTCACATCAGGATAGGGTGTATGAGAGAAAAATTGTTCTAGTAATTGTAATTGTTCGTTAGTGAAAGACGAACGATAACGCCGTGCAGGAGCCGTCAAACGCATTGGTAACGTTTCATTCAGTGAATTATCTAAAACAAACAAAATTAACTTTCTTTTTGAGCAATCCTCGAAAAATCTTACTTTCATCGGACTCTTCGTAGGTAGTGTCACCATTGGTGTCTTTCATCTGTCGAGCAGCTAACTTCGATTGTCGTCGATTGCTTACACCCGGTTTATATGAACCTGTTTCGGAGTAACGTGAAAGTATTTTTGATATGCAACCATGAGATACCCGAAGCTAAAATATAATGAATAATTAGTAGAAAGTCTCTCTCACTCAAAACAAACCATACTTCACGACTGATCATATTTGGACGAATTCCATTTGTTGCCATTTCAATAATTTTCCGACGAATATGATCCGGTAAAGGACGACCATTAATAAAAACTCCGCCTAATTGATTAACACGACCATGGCCAGCTAAAATTCAAGACCACCTTTTCAATTTTTAGCATATCTTTCAACATGACTTACCCAGAAGTGCTTCCTGTTCAGCTTTACGAAACATTTTTTACCGTCTGCCTAGAATAAACGAATCAAATATGCTTTATAGTGTATTGAAAGGTTAACAAATCCTGTGCGTGTATGCGCAATTCGGAATTGATTGACTAATGTGAATCGAATGAAGATGAACACGAAGTTATATGAGAAGACAAGTGTGAACGAACTTGATAAATATAAGAAAGAAACAACATGTCGTGCTAATTGATTAAGAGAACATATAGACGACTAATTTCAATTTGTTGATATGGCATTATTGGCCGTGACGATGACTTGTTTAATTTTCTTCTCGTTTGATTCATAACAAGTAATCGTCAATCGACGAAAGATCCATTGACGTCATCATCAAGGTGGTGTTGTTTTTCAATATTTTATGTAAGATGAATGATCAATCAATTAATCAACAGAGCGGCATTGGGAAAAATTTTCTTCTTCTTTTCTGATCAATGCATGGCTCGTTTTCAATCGAAGGATTGTTGAAATGAAATTAATGCAAATTTTCTTCATAACAATCTTTAACTTCGAACAGTTGGTAATTGCCGAGCTTGATATGTGCTGAAATAATTCGAACTATTTGAGACATGAAATTGCTCAAAAAAATGAAGATTGAAAGAAAGTTGTTTGTTTCTTGATATCCCTAGAGAGATAGACTCGGGGATACATTTTTTAACGTATTTAAGTTTGTATGTCATGAGTTTGTGTCTTGTCGTAGTGAACATTTTGGAATTTTTGTTCAGCAAAAAGTATTGTGATACAATAATAGAACCAGGAATTCAGTGAACCCTGATACGTATTCCGTGTGACGTAATGAATATAAAAAGACTATTTCAAATCAGTTAATGTGACTAAGAATGATGAAGTTTCAAGAAGTGATGCCATGGAACTTGAAAGGTCAAATCTAGATCAGTCTGAAAGTCAGCATTGAATGGTTTATAGGTATTCAGTTAGAATTGAAAGGAAGAAAATTCAACTGATTCTTAGAGAAGATAGAAATAGATTCGTTTAGATCTTTAGTTTTTCTTGCAATTTCTGTTAATATGTGAGTCACCGATGTAAAGATTTCGAGAAATCGGTACAACAAACAAATGAATTATGTTATCGATCGCATTTTCATTCTTATTGGCTTGTTAAACAAATAACAACGAGTAGATTCTAGTATAAGATAGACGAAGGCTAGTTATGAGCACTGGATTACAACCCATAATTTTTAATTGTGTATCCATGTTTTGCTTTTTTTGTTAAATAACCGATAGTTATCAATTAAGAATTGCAACCAGATGTCTAAATTATGCCAAAATATAGCATTTTTCTTTTCTCATCGATAATTATAGCACATAACATACAAACAGTTGGTAGGCATATGTGAATGGCTGTTAGCATCGACAGAAAGAGAAAAAAAACCTGTAAAACATTATGTGTTTTCTGCCATCGTACATTTATCGATTTAATCAATATTGATCATGAGAATAATTTTCTTCGTTTTTATTCTATTTTACTCTTCAATAATCAATAGTGAAGAAATATTATCGTATACTGATATAATAACAAGTTATTGTTCACCACCATTTTATTATTATAAATCGTGGTGTTATTATATATTTCCGAATGTAACTTTGGATTGGTCATCAGCATATCGTTTATGTCGTTCGATTGATAAACATACGTATCTTGCGTATGTATCAGGCGACGATGAAATGATTGATCCTCTACGTGACATATTAATTAATCGAGAAAAATCTCAAGAAATCAAGTCCATATGGACAAATACAACATGGGGTCAGCAACGACGAACAATATTAAGTCGAAATTCAAAACGATCGTGTCGTAAAATTGAATTGAAATCAAATTATAAATTCGGTCATATCGATATGCTTCGAATGCCGTTTACGAATTGTCGAGAAAAGCATACGGTCATGTGTCGAAAAGAACTTCCATTGAATATCGAATGCCGACGACCATGGGCATTAGCTTATGGTATATGTTATTATCTAGATGAACAAAAACGTATTAGTAAAACAGAAGAAGAAGATCGTAATAGAGTTCAATGTCAAGCATGGGAAGGCGAATTATTTTCTAGTTCGAAACAAGAAAAAAATATTCTTATTCCATTTCTATCATATTCATTACATAGTCTTCGATCAAGTGGAATTCTATCTGAAAATTTCGGTGGCATATCTTATTCATTTGAAAATATTCTACAAGAAAATTGCTCCCTTATATCCGGTGATGTTTACTTAAGTACAACTCTTAATCAATTAAGAAATCGAAATTCAACAAAAAATTGTTCTGCATATAATTCCTATACACTATGTCGACAAGTTCAAAATACAACTTGTGAACCACCATGGTTTTATGATGATGGATTTTGTCTTTATTTTTCACCACAATCACTTTTCGATATGGCAGCTGCAACGATTGAATGTTCACGTCAAGATGGCTATTTGCTATATGTTAATAATGAAGAAGAACTGTTTCGATTAACACATAATCTTGTATCTTTAACACCCTATTTTAAACATCTTTCATTGGCCGGTGTATGGTTAGCACTGTCCTATAGAGCGATGAGCTCAGCCAATGGTGATCCCGCAGAAGATAGTTTTGCTTGGCAATGGGATTTATCGATTGAATCTTATCTCGATGAAAAATGGAAATTATATGAATGGAAAAATTTCTTTCAACATCGTCTATCACCCTATGTTGTCAGTGCAGGTGATTGTGCTGCATTAATTCTTGATACCAAAATACGTGAGCCCATTGAACGTACGACATGTCACACACGTCGAACAGTTGTATGTCGAAAACCGCTAGATAATCAAACGGTGTCATTTCATAAGAAAGTTAAATATGAGAAAATTTTAAATTTAAAAAATTCCACTCAGATTTCGGAATTTCCTTCAAAATCAAGAAATCTATCATCACTATCCACATTAATGATTACTCGACATGTATTTGAACCATTAAGTTCAACAAAACATCGATTAATTGCTTATTTCAATGGATCTTCAACAGTAACAATAACTCTTGTTTTTGCATGTAAATCGAAAGGAATTCTTTTTCAAGCATCAATTCCGTCCAATGAATTATTATCGATTATGAAATTTGATATAGGAAACAATTCAATACAAAGTGAATATCAAGTACTGTTTAATTATCTTCAAGTATCAAATTGTACGAATACAACAATAAATCAATGTATTTATCTATCGTGTATACAAAATGATCCATGGCATTATACATTATCTGAAATGCAAAATCGTTTAAATATGATTCGTAATCAATCATCAACTAATTCTCGATGTTTAATGAAATATGCTAATTCAAACTTTCATGCACAAATCTGTTCTATTTTGATCGATCAATTTCGTATAGGCGAAGAAACACTATTAGCTGCTCCAGTATCTTCATCGAAAACAAATGATTGTAAAGATTTCGGTGGACAATGCGTTCCTAATTCATTGATAGTCTCATCTTCGATGTCATTTACTGATAGTGATTTAACTTGCCCAACAGGATTTATTTGTTGGCTACAAGGTAAACTGTTTTTCTAAACTAAATTTATAGAAGTACACGGCGTCTGTGGAAGATTCTTTTAATATGACTTTACGGATTTAATGAATGCTTCAGATATCTCAAAGGGAAATATGCTATCAGCGAAGCTTAAAGAAAACATTCCGTTCCAGGTTTTTTTTAATACTCCGGAGGTGGACTGCAATATATTCACATTTAATTCCATCTTGTCGCTTTTGAAATATTTCCCGATGGTTGAATTACATTGAATACGTCTAGGAGAGTTATGGACTATTTTACTTCACTCATTATGTTTTCGACAGTTTCATTCCAGTCTACGTCTATGTGCTGTTGACACCATTGGATGTAGAGGCACCGGGGAAATTTGACGAGACAAGAGGAAATGAATGAGATACTTATTAATCAGGTTTAGACATTGGGCAGATTCTGATTCAAATTTCAGATGAATGTAGCGGAAGACACATCTAAAGGATTCAACGTCCTGGAGATTAACTCGTTGAATAACAAAATTTTTGTCTACTGTTTGAACATGAACGAACCTACTTTTTCTTATTCAGGTGAAAATTGTAGTGCTAATGCTTACTGTATTGATCGTGTTCGATATCCATGTTCTCCGGCATCTCATTTATCCAATATAACCTGTTCGAATTCTCACCACGATTGTTGCACATCTACATCGATATCAATGGATTCATCATTAATTATTTCTACTGGATCAAATTATCAAAGCTGGAACATTCTTTTACCAATTTATTATTTTTCATTTCATGGCACATCGAAATGGGATAAATTCTTTTTTAATTCTTGGCTACGTATGGGCAGTGATATCTCTCATGATTTTGTTAACGATGAATTTTTATTCTCCTGTACAAGTATTTTTATAGAGCCAACATTATTGTTAACGCACGATTCATGTTTACCAACACGTTTGACAAGTAATGATAGACGTTCGATATTATTTTCACTGACGAAAAAGGCTGATAATGACGAATATGATAGAGTAGCATTACATATTGATACCTATCAAATCTATTCACCATTTCAATTAGTACGACTCGCATATCAACATGATTTTCTTGTTAATAAAACATTTAAAAAGCTAAATAACATAAAATTAAATAAAGAAAAAATCAATGAACTTTATTGTGTTCTGGTTTTCAATGAAAATGATATAAGACAAGTTCGATTAATAAATGATTTCGAACGACAATTTATTTTCTACGATAATATTTCTTTATTTTCATTTGTTAATACAAATGATGGTGATGATGATGATGAATGGTCATTTTCACCTATTCTCTGTATTCTTGATGACAACGTAAAAGATTGGACAATCGTTGGTATTAGCGGGCAACAACTTAAACATAAATGTACGATTATTAATCAAATAAAATATTGTCAAATGACATTTGTCTATTCATCAACATGGATCGATAACTAAAGAAAACACAAAACTTGCCCTTTTCATTTTCATCTATGTAACTCCTATTTTTACCAAGCTTGCTTCTCTACGTAGATATCAAAAAACATGTCTTATGATTCAATTTTCGATTATAATAAAGGGGATCACCTGTTTTAAAATCATATTCAAAGAATTTGACATTGCAAAACTATGGAAAAGTCACTAAACATTGATTCAGCTACATCACACGACAGACAGCATTTCGACTATACGAAGGAACATCGTCAAGGAGCGGAAAACGTATTTATTAGTTTGATGATGTGCTAAAAATAGTTCATCTAGGCTTTGGTATGCATCAAGGAAAACAAAAGTAAGATTACTTTTTAATTATTCAATTCATAGCTGATTCATTACTTTAAATTCAATGCAACCATCATACTGACGTTGACAAGGTGTTGCATCATACTCGAACAACGAAGGATGTTTCTGTCTTTTACGCTGTCTTATGATAGGCTCAATGACATGATGTTTTCAACACAGCGAATAATTACTAGCGGTAACTCTTTACAGAAGATTAATCTGACTTGTACAGTTAATACACGCAAGTATTTTTGGTTCCGATATAGAAACGAAAAGATTAGATGTATGCTACAATGTCTTGCACAATGTAGTTAGATTCATAATTCTGTCAAATAGCTATCATAGATACCATACAGATTGAATACGAACAATTTTTCAAATCATGCCACTCAACATGAAATCTATGTTATAATGATGGAATTTTTTAAAAATTTTAACCAAGGAGGAACAAACTGATTTCCAGGCATAGAAATCAGCGGAAATCACTGAAAATCATACGAAATCATGGAATCAGTTTGTTCCCCCTTGATGTTAACGCTTATCTCAACATCATTTTATTTATTTCGTTTGCTACCTGTATGTAGATATTACAAGTACATTATGTCAAACAGTGTTATTTATATATAATACAAATATCATGCTAGTTCATTGTTAGAAGAAGTCGTTTGAGTTATTTCAAGATAATTTTGATTCGTACGAATATTGAGTGACGCTGCTTTGCAACACAATTTGATTGATCGCCAACATCTTTTCATTAAAACAGTCTTTGCTTGACGACGAAAACGTGATGATAATATCAGAAAAACATAAAAATTGATCTAAACTGACATCGAATACGAAGAAGAACACTGAAAATGCAAAGTGAAAGCTTCTATTTTAATTTTATCGCGAAATTAGCGTGCATCAGTGTAGTAAATACTGCTGACAATAGGCTAACTATGGCTATTTCCATAATATTGCTTGCACTGATATTTAAATCCACTGAATATTGAGAAATAATAATATATGGAAAGCCGAATATCATAAGAACCATCATCACACGTATCGAAGCGATTGCTGCCATTTGACGATCAAGACGTCGACGAAATACTGGTAGTTGCAGACGAACGTTCCAATACGCCAATAAACTCGACGTTAAAGTGATAGCCACAGGAAGAATATTGACCAAAATTGGATAATAGAAACACGAGTAGTAACGCCTTGCTATTGGATTGTATACATTACAACCCGGTGACGGTTGAATTTCAGTGATAATAACAGCTGTCATGCTATGCGAAACGGTAAAGCACACACATTAAGAATTGTTTAAAATTATGCTAATTTAAGTGTGCTCTTTGTCGCCATCTAGGTCGAACATTCGTCGATAGATATTGATCAAACGAAAGAAAACATATTAAATAGAGAACGTAACGCGAACGCTTGTAATATCATGGCTTGAGTTTTGCACCAGGAGAGCGAAGTTTGAGCTGGATCATAGCCAATAGTATGTGCCACAAATTTTGGCATATTTAATGTAAAAAGCAAACCAATATTAGAGATAGACTCAATAATAAAATAAGAAGCGACTTGATTTCCTCGGAAAGGTCGCAAACTGGTGACAACCAAAATTAGTGAAATATTACCAATAATTCCAACGGTAGAATTAAAAATGCCGGCATAAAATTTATATTTACCTGTTACGACAAGAAGTTGTTGAGCTAGTAGCTATTTGTTGTGTCATCTGGTTTGAAGGTAACAAACATCTTTTTGTAATTTACTGGCTGATAAATAATTATCGTTTGTCGATATCAGATAAGAATAGATGTCCTAACAAATCAACATTGTTTATCGTTTAAATGAAGTTGCCAAAGTTTCTAAACAGAAAATAAAAATGAATGTCGCTCTATGGATAGGCTATGGAAAATTGTGAGAAACTCTCAACAAATAAAACTAATATAAACGCCTATTTGCCATATGCCATAATCTTATTGAAATAATGGTGTACGCAATATATATAGAATCTATGAATCTGTCCAACCATGAAATAACTCTTTGAAGTATCAAAGAAAACATTAAAATCAAACGCATAAACACATAACTCATACACGTTCAATATTCATATTCTAATTGACAAAAAAAAGAATGCTTACGTGTAAAAGTTTATTTTTGTCTTAAATAATATACTTTATCACTCGATTAAGTGTCTTTTTGTGAGTTTAATGCATTCGTATCGATGTTACAAACATCCAATCTGAAAGCTTCTTCAATCTATTAACACCACAAAAAGAAACCTCTTCCAGTGAAGGGAATAATCATGATAATAATTGTATCTACGTCTATATTCAAAAAGAACTCTTTCCGCAGCTCGAGATCTCAGCTGGCACAAAAATTGCATTAAATTAAAAATGACCGCAATGCTGTTGTATTATGATCCTTAGAGAAATGAGGGGGGGGGGTTAGTAAAGCTAATACAGTGTTTGAGTGAAGCTGATATTCCTGATGTAGTTATGTCATGATTTTGTATTGAAATTTGACTAAAAAATAATTTGAATTAGTATCTAATTAATATTATATTAAAGCTAAGTCAGCACACTGTTTATGCAATGACGCTATAACATATTGTACTTTATAGTTCGTTATTTTTCCACCAACTCTTATTTCAACATTAAAGTACTAGGATAAAAAAGTAATGAACTAACTTCAAAAATACTTTAGTGACGTAAACGAAGGAGAGATAGATGTCTCTTCTCCACCTGGCTGTTTTTATCGTGTTAGCGTAAGCGTAGCATTTTCTTCTTGGGTTTATTTGAGTACTTTTTGACGGGAAAATGTCGACTTTCAGAAGACGATCAATCAATGGAACTTGCATCTGACGTTTTTTGCATTTCATTTGTTCCTTGACTGAACGAAGAAAGGTTTTGTCTTCTCTTGTTTTGTTCCTAAGTGAATTTTTTCAGTTGAAAATTTAAGTAATTGATAAAGCACGAGACGCATAGAAATGTCTAATTTAGTATTTCATTATGATGCCAGTAAAGTCATAAAAAATTTACTCACCGATATCTTATCTTTCTTCGAAGATCAATAAACCGGCTCTATTCTTCTTCACGGTTCTGCATACTTCTATTTATTACATTGATGAAGATAATCAAATAAACTAGGACTAGAATAGTATTTATCTATAGAGACAACGACTGACCGTTTCTCTCTCGGCACATTTAAATAAAGTTGTAAATATTGATCGAATTACGTCAATTTGTTCTCGACAATTCACTTCCGTTTTAAAACCAAAAATAACTATGAAATCTATTACAAAACCTGTTGTGCAATCATTTATGCCTGTTTGGTCGTATGTGCTGTTTAAAGCTCAAAAGACACTTCTGCAAAATTTAAGTGTCGTCAATGCAAAGCTTTTCCTACGAACGCAAACAATAGAACTGTTTTTTTTCTCCACGGCTTGTTGCAGTTTGTAAAGGCCATTTCTAGCAATTTAGTTTCGGTTATCATTCGCGTTGAAATACTTATTCTTACGGTCTTTTCTTAATTAATTTTTCTAGAACAAAAGCGGACCCCAGATCCTTGAATCCTATCGGATGCGCTTTTCTCCCTTGTGCACAAGTGTCGGATGAATTCTTTTTTCTTTGTTATGTAGCTCTTGGTATACACTAAATTGGAAAAGATCTATATTTCAGTTTAGAAGTATTTGTCATTGGATAATAGATGACTCAGTAAGTTAAGAAATTCATCTGAATCGATACGATGAAAAACTATGAAAAGTTATCGTTCCATAAACATCTTTGCTTTGAGAAAATGACTTTTTCTTGTATGATAAAATTGAGGGTGTGGGTGTGGATTTGCATGTATAGTGTGCATGTGGATAAGCGTTTGGGCAGAATAACACCCACACCCACACCCAATCTCGAAATAAGAGAGTAATTTGTTAAACTTCAACCACCGATCTAATAAGAATCGATTTTCTCAGAGAGGAAACAATATTTTTTCAAGCTGAATATATAATTGTGTTCGCTGTAACTCGACGGTTCGAATGACGTAAGAAAGTTTGAGATATGCTTTCAAAAAAAAATCCTTGATGATTTTGCGAGACATCAATTTGAACGTGCCTATATGGAGACCTAGTGGAGCTTCTAAAACATGAAGCGTATGCTTTTTACTGGTCAAAGTTACATCAGTAGATTCAGATTTTCATGCTGAATTCGATGATGATAGTTTTCGAAGCTTAGAAGATTGTTAAACTAGGTAATTTTCGAGTTTTCTCCGGAAAAGTGAAATATTCACTTTTTCAGGTGCAATTTGTATTTTGAAAATTTCTTAGTCAAAACGGAAGCTTATAAATATTTTAAAGGTAATATGCATGATCTATTCATCGAGCTCTAGTCAACCATGTAATAATAAATGGGAGTTTTTTTTTTCTACCGGTCGATGTTTGACTATGGTGCATCTTACATGGCTTTTAAAAAGTTATCTGGCACGTTTTCTAGTTCCGATATTTGATATCAACCGCTATAATAGGACATAATTAATGTTACGGTTCAATGACTCTATTTCATTTTATATTCGATCGAGCCGAAGTCAATAACTGTATAGAAATATTTTCATATTTTATTTTATTCGCTATACGATCACTGCCGACATTCTTAATTAGATTGCTTTTACCTGTGTAATGAAAGCATATTGATTTGTCATATGTCTTTCAACGCATGATTAGTCATTCGAAATATTTGACTAGCGAAAGTAAAACTAAAAGTCTTACATTTGATGAAGATCACAGTTAAATGTTAAAATACATTTTAATTGGCATAAAAAGAAAAAAAATGATCAGTTTTTAATTCATAATGAATATTGTATTGGTTTCATTTAGCTTTGATGAACTTTAAGTAGATCATAAACGTAACTTGCAAAAAACAATTCAAAACTGTATTAATTAAAATTTTCAAGTCGACTCCTGAAAAGTAGATAATCAAATCTTCATCTAAATGCGTCTTTATCATTTCTATATAATACGAAAATGCTTGTAAAAGCTGTCAACATGAATCCAAGGACATATATTGAAAATTCGAGCATGACTTTCACTGACTTGACGTCATATAATGATAGCATGACTGCACATTTTCTTTTTCGTGCTTGATAGAAATAAATAAATGGTCACCGGTAGACATAGTTGAATGCAATATTTATTTTCAACTAATTTTCGTTCGTCGATCAGTTTAAATTATGATTCACTGTTTTCGCCTTGTTCTTTTTATCGGTTTTATGTTCATCGTAGTGACTGGCTACAAAATTAAACGCGACACTGAGTCGTCTATCAGCAATACTAACTCTGGAGGTATGAATAGTATAGTATTTCAGACAAGATTTGTTCCTATCATAGAAGTAAATTAGTATAAATATGAAATAATATGCAGAGATTGCATCTATTGCTGTACGGTACTATGTAGACGAGAGTATAATATCGAAAGTGTTTGACTATAAGAGTACACGATACGAAAAGAAATGTATCCTACACATCACTAATGGTTTGCGAGCATGAATAAGGAGGAATAATTGACTTGAATTTTGTTGAATATAATAGATGTTAACTAAAGTAATGATTGAGAACCTTAATTTGAATAATTATGATTAACTCGGTGTTTATTGTACTTCAGGTACAGATTCAAAATATCCAACTGGTGCTATCATTGGAGCTGTAGTTGGCGGTAGCATCGGATTTGTACTTCTCGTGGTCTGTTGTAGTACTTTGTGTGTAATATTCATATTGATACCAAGGTTCTACACATCTTTCAAGTCACCCAGTCCTGCCGTTACTGGCATGCATAGTGTTGTTGCTAGTGCATATCGAACAGGCGAATCAATTTTTGTGCCGGGTACCTATGCAAGTTACTATTCTAAAAATGGTTGGTACCGTGGACCATTCTATATGACACTGGGATTTTATAACACCGCTGGCTATATGGTTTATGGAAAAGGAAAAGACGATGTAGCTAGCTATGCTATAAAAGGTTTTTATTCGCCCATAACTCGTCGAATGGGTTTGCAACTACATTATCAGATTGGAACAGGAGATCCCGACCAAAATATAGGTCAAACAATATCCGCTCATGTGCAGTGGAATGAATACCAACAACAGTTTGAAGGCAATTATTATTCTTCAATAGAAAATGCCGGAAAAGACAATAGTTTTATAATCAAACGTAACTGAATTGATTATAGACCATATAAAATTGCATTTCACGCATAAAAATAAGATTCATTTTTCAAATATTTGACAAAGTTTTTCCTGTTATTATTTTTCGTTTTATTATATTATGTACAAGACAAAAAGTCAATGTGACAGAACAACGAAAAAAAATATTTTTTTTCTTTTGTTTTTTAATTTGCTTTTTAGTTCGTTGTAATGTCAAGTAGTTTTTTTCTTCTTCTTGTACGTAGTTATGAATTCATTATCATCTGTATTAACGAAGACAAATCTTAATGAATAAGATTGATTATTTATTGGTTATCTATGGCAATCATATTGAAAAAATATTGTCAATGATAATTATAGAAATGATATATTAGTTAATTGTCCTTGTTCTCGTTCGATAATTTACAGTTAGTTCCGTTTGATATTTTTTTGTTGAACCAAACCAATGCACTTTACTTAGGAAAAATGACTTGATGGTTTTTGGTCTTCGAAATTTATCAGTAGAATCAATTTGTCTAACAAATTCTTCTTGATTTTCATCACCAATATTTGGTATAGATAATGAACCACGACTCTCTAAGGTTTGTTGATGTTTCGAGAAATGTTTCGATTTTTTCAATGGTTTTGGTGAGACAACTTCAGTGTGTGGATTACTTCTTCGTCTTGAATTCATAGCACAATTAACGGGTGGCTCATCTGATGCTTGCCGTTCTAGTTGTTGTGATGGCGAATTCAATGGGGGTGTTTTAACATTCCGCGAAATACACCGGCCGCATGTAAATACAACTTTAATCATTGAAATAAATTTATGTCGAAATAATTTTCCTGACAATGAATATAATAAACAATTGGTTGATGAATTAAATAGATCAGTAAAAAGAAATAATGCTAATGAATCTTTTATTTGTGGACATTGTGCTATTGAAACAACATATAATGTATGACAATAAAACATGGTTAGAAATATTGGTATACCCCATGATATTGTTATGATAGAAAAACTCTCAATTAATATGACAAGTAATGCGCGTATATCATTTTGTAAACGTCTTCTATGGTGATTATTTCCTTTCGTACGTTTTAAATATTTTAGATTTGGAGAAAAATAAATAACTTTTAAGGAAAATAAATTTGCTAAAAAGACTATAAACGATGGTAATGCATTACCAAAAAATATTGCCATCATATGACGATTAAATGTAAATGATAATGAATGAAGAAAATCGTATAATTTAAAGTAAACAGAATACATTAAAGTTACTTGACATAAACGATCTTCAAATAATTCTATGAATACATCTGCCAATGTTTTTTTTTGAAAATGTTCAAATAAAACTGATGTATTCGATAAATTCGAATTGCAATCATATATGGTCGGCAATAAATTTGCTATGCTTTCAGATATTTGCGCATCGCGACTGGCCACTAATGATTTAGTCAGAGAATAGAATTCCGATGAACTTCGAGTAATTGAACAATGAGACTAAAAGAAAAATTTCATTTTGTCTATAAATGAGAATTCGATAGAAGATCAACAATTTTGGAAACGGATCACTTTTTTTCAGAAATCCTGTAGTATTTCCGGGTTGGTCACTGTATAAAACCATTCAAAGGTTTCCATGAAAATAATTTTTCGAATAAACACCAAAAAAGTCGTTAGTAATGACCCTTATTCTGAAACATTTCGAAATTTGTTCTAATTAGAAGTGCTTAGCTTTTGTATTTAAGTGTCTATTAGCAGTAATTGATAGTCATAATTCAACAACTAGTTCGTGATCTTATAAATAAAATGGTACTCTTAATTTTTAACAATTATTACAATGTACTTATTACTGTATGTCAACAAATTGCTATGCAATTAGTATACAAGTCAAAATCTGACACATCAATGTACGATATATTTATATCATAGGAATATATTGGACAAACATCTATAAGATAACTAAAAATAGTTCATGATTGCTGTCTTAAAAGATGAAGTCCTTGCAAGAACTTTGGTGTTACTTGATAATCTGTACGAATAAGAATCTATAGAATTAAAGGGTAAAATTTCAATCCAAGATCGTGTTTTTTCTTCGTTAGAAATTCTAAAAGTTGTTCAGATGTATTAAATCTTTGCATGCATCATTTAAATTCCATTATAGGTTTCCATTCCTTTACTCAAATGCTTCAGACGGAATGAATAGATATATGAATCCTGATGTCGTCGATGCTTGACATGCAAAACATTGTATTCGCATGATTTTTTTACTTTGTCGATACGCTTTTTTATAGTTTGGAAAATTTTAGTGCGCAAAAGAAAGACGCTTCCGAATTGATATTATGATCTAAAGCATATGCTTCAATTACTTTGATATTCTATTCAAAAGTAGAAACCATCCAAGTGTCTTTAATAGCTACATGTCGTGAAGAATCCCCCTCACTACTTTTGTGAAACACGACTTGAAAGAAGTGTTGAAGTGTTTAGAGTAGAAATGTTGTACCCCCTTCCCCCTAATCACAGACCGTTGCCGACAGCTTAGGAGACCGTTGGAAACCGTGGCCGACGCCTCAACTACTTAGTTAATTAACTAATTACTATGCAATTATTTAATTGACCATCACAGATGATCTTCAGAGACCATCACGCAGCGTGACAGACTATCTTCGGACCTGCCACAGCCCATCAGAGATGCTGTTCCAGCCTAGCGCAGATCATCACTGGTAGCGGCAAAAGAGCTGTCTCACCAAATCAACAAAGAACTCCCGTGGATACACCATCTCGATTCTTGATAGATGGGTTCAAGGCGACCCGACAAAATCCAATGGCTTAGTTTCGTCGTGGGTTATTTCAGTTTAAGCAATCTCATGAATAAAAATAGTCGTGCCTAGACTGACAAAATGGTAACTGTTATTTTAATGTATTGTAAAACGAATTGAACAAAACCGAAACAGGAAATGCAAATGTCAATACATTGGCAAGAAAATCATTTTTTCTTGTTTGAATTCCTCTAAATTATAATTTTCTAGTTATGAAAATCTAGATTAGTACGGGTAATTTCTTTCTCCTAATTAGCAATCAGTAAAATATATGATATTTGCTTCTTGAGTCATGATATAAGGGTGTTTATCTTTTTGTTTCAATCTCCATAGTGCATGATTTATTTCTGTTTTACATTCAGCACAGTGTCATGTTGTAATAAAGAACGTACTCAAATGTTTTTTTACACATCAATTTTCTCATTAAGCAGTTATGAAAATCAATAGCATATTCTATTAATATAATTCTTATAGAATTAATATAAAAAGAAGATTGAAATATTATCTTACAAAAACAAAATCATGAATCTGTCCGATGGGTATCAATTGCTATAGAATAAATTAGTAGACCAACAGAATCTGCAATACATTGAAAGTTTCTTAAGATTTAATACTAGCAATTGGGTGCTTAATTTTAATGAATTAATAGACTAATTTAATAGAGGTCAAGTAGGTATATATTGACTTTCTACGCGATAATCGAATACTGTATGCGATGTCAAACGTCTGTATCTATTTAAAGAAAAATGTTTTCTATATTCAAAAGTTTGCTTTTGCTGTTTCATTCATTTTCAAAGTAAGAATAAACATAGGGAACATTCAATGCAATCAAGCAATTAATTTTTTCTTCCAAATGAATGAATTTATGTATCAAGGACAAGTTTTTTTCTTCTAAAAGCTTTATCATCGAATAAACAGCAACAACAAGTAGCACAATCACACGTAGTAACTATCGCTTTTATTTCAATTAATAAATTTACTTTAAAAAAAAAGAACAAATGAAATCCATTGAGACTAGACATTTTACTTTAGAGTTAGGTGAGTCTTTTTTTCAAATAGTTAATTACAATTTCAACTATCCTCAAACGTTAAAATTTTGCTCTCGTACGGGACACACGCTAAAATGTACGAAAATTTACTAAAGTTAACAACCGGTTGGATAGAATTTATAACAAGCGTCTTCAGTTGAATTTATTTAAGCTAAACTGATTCTATTGAATAAGTTATATAACCCCTAAATAACCAAAGTGCTTTCGTTTCTTATAGTCTGGTGCACACAGATCTAATAGTTTCAATTCAATGGAGAAAAACAAATCTATTTTCATACCTGATTTACTCTTGACATTGAACTATTACCCCGATTGATATTTAATGTTTGAAAAATACAATAATACTTATCGATTAATTCATCATAACGATCATATAGAAAGTTTGAATAGAATTCCTTTGCCTGTTTATTATCCATTACTAATTGAAATATTTCCATATAAACATAAGGATCTGTTGATTTTCCGCATTGTACACCCATCCATTCAAAACAAGTTATAAATAAAGCAATCAAAACACTAGTTATACAAGCCAAAACAGCACAAAAGCGTGTTTCACGATATGATAGTGAGAAAAATGTCCGTGAACGTTGAATACTTAATATGGCAAGTAAAATCGTTGAAGCACGAGTCCATAAAACTTTATACAGCATCCATTCAAGGCAAAATTTTCCCATAAATGAATAAACAAAATCAGTTAAATTATGAATGATTTTCTCATTCAATGTGCATAATAAAGATGATTTCTCAACCATATCGGATTGCCGATCGAGCATTTCACTATAACCAATTAGCAACGTCGTTGAATCGCTTATTAGTAAGCAAATAAAATAGATCGCTATAGGTTTATGAATGAATGTGTTCGAACAAAATACAATAATGCAGAATATATTAGAAAGTAAACTTAAAAAATGTATCGACGGCATTAATAAACACCAAACTAATGTTGAACCAGTAAATACACTTGGTGTGTATGTATTGTTTGTCAGACAATTATCCATCTATGTATGACGAAGAGAATGTGAGGTTTCCTTTTTGTTCAAGCCTTTAGGGGCCTTTTTAGAATTACATGGGAATATTATCTTAAAAAAAAAACAAGAAAATATCAAATATGTCAAATTTTATTATTAATTATTCAGAAATACGATGAGTACTTCGTCATAAAAATTCTCTTTTGAGTATATGAAAAAGAGAATAAAACAACCATTAAGAACTTATGAAAGTATATATATATATATATATGGAAGTTTCCTGTAAAAAAAAATTTTACTCTTTCTTATCGATAGAATGCTTTTTTTTCTCTCTAATTTCAATATCTGCGAGAAAATCTTTTCTTTTGCTGTCATTCGTTATTTTTGATAATTAAGATATCTTTGACAAGTTTCATGTAGATTAGATTTATTGAACAGCATGATGCATTTAATCAAAGCATAATTGAATAAGATCCTCAGGGAACAACTCCTATGATCAGCAAGTCAAAAACACGCATAGACAAATTTATATACCTGTTTATTAAAAATGTTCAAAGTCAGAATGAATGAAATCAGTGTAACAATACAATATTTAAATAATTGTTTTTCCTAGTATTGCATATAACTTTGTCGACTCGGGAGAAGAGAAACATGAGAAGTTTTACATATAGGAACGATACAGGAAGAAGCAAACATTTACGATAATTATAGAGACATGCGTAAGATGCATAATTTAAAAAAAAACTGCATGTCTGCAAGCTTGAATAACAATGAACCGAGCATTTGCTAATAATTAAACATGAGAAAAACGTTAGATCGGCAAGTTCATACAAGCAAATTTCAAACAAAGATCTTTTTCTTTCTGACTCCGATTTCGTTCTTCGGAAAGGTTCCGTCATTACTTATAATATACAACATACATCATGAAATCAGTGAGATAGTGTGTCGCACTTAACTACATTGCATGACCTAAGCAAGGAAAATATTGAAAATTCGCGTCTACGTTACTTCTCTTATTTTTTGTTGTCGATATCTGCCTACTTTATCTGATTGGACAAAGCATCATGATATCAAATTAATTATATTAAACATGTACGATTAGATAAATTAATTTTTTGAACTGATTCACTCGAGAAAAAAATATTGACTGGAATAAGAATTTATACTAATTACTTTCCAGAGGGAAAAGTAGCTAAATCGCTACGGCTGCTTTAGATATTTTCTTTGTACTATTAATTGCAGCTGTTTGACGATGATAATCAATTTTGTATAGCATCATAGAAAGCATTCGGAAAAATGGGCTGACAAAACGTGAAATTACGAGTCTTGACAGTAGCAACGTATATTAAAAAAGAAACAAGAGTATAGAGTACCGTTTCAGCAATCTTGACGACTGTAATCATCATTCTAGATTGACCGATAAATAAGTTAACTAACAAAAAACATACACATGCTGCCGATGATATTCGCTCTAATGATCGACTATAATTATTATCTATATTGTCTTCAAAAATCCTATAATCTATAGAAGCGTGGGAAAAGAAAAATCGTTCTATGGAACTTATTTATTAATTAGATGCTAGTTGAATATTCCGGCCGGATAATTATATATACCAGTGAAATCGCCTATTAGGTAACAATATTGTAGTTACAATTCAACTCTAAGTTCAAAAAGAATAAAGAACAAAAACACTGATAGTTTGGAACACAAACAGATAGTAACGGAATGTTGATTGATAAAGTAAACAAGTCATCATTTCTTAAGTAATGTTCATGCTGTCTTACTTGAGGAATATAAGAAAAAAGAGAAAGAAAAATAGAGAATCTGAATTTTTTTTATTTCTATGAAGAAAAAAAAAATTCGTCTGAAAAATTTCTTGCATTTCTATATTAACATATAGTCTGAACAATGAATCAAATGAAGTGTACTTGAATAAAATTTTATTACTGCCATACATGATAAAGTGACTATCATTTATTTATCAAAACTAAAAAAGGAAGATTTTCGAGATAATACAAAAAACATATTCTAACGATCATATTAAACTAGTTTCCCTATGAAATAAAATATTATTTGTTCAATATATATATATATATATCTAGTCGTCTAACCCATCCAATCACAGATGCATAGATTGTTTATACAGAAAACAAATTAATAATAACGTTTTATTTACGGAATAATGAAAATTCGTGTGAATGACTTGCATATATAACGAGAGAAGGTTGACTCTATTCAATAATTTTATTTAAATTAAACAGTCATAGCCTTTATGCGTAGTTTTGTTACTGACTATGACTGTTTGGCCAATTGAGGAATTTACTTTTTCCTAACGAGAACTATTCATCATTCCGAATCAAATGACTCTGTAAATCAAACAGCCATTGCGGAGTATGATTATCAATCATTCTCATCGGAAGATCGTGACACACGCCAAACAAAGAAAAAGACAACAACAACTATTGAATTACATTAATTCAATATTTTTATCTGATTTAGAATATAATTACTAGACTATGTCAGACATTTACTTGAACTAATAAAATCATAAAAGTACAAAAACAAAATTCTATATGTAAAATCTTCCAGTTTTGTATTACGGTAAAGTATAATCGATACTTTGTATGTTCACTTGGTACAAATGAAGAAAAGCGCGTTGTTTCAATTCGAAACATCTAATAATCTTCTCTTAAAATCATCGATACAGTAAATGATAGGAAGTCTCTCAAAACAAAAGTGTACGATGCTACTGTTTAACTATGTTCACAAAAAAGCCGATTCTTTGGTTTCTGGTTGCATGCACACATTCAAAGTTCATTATTATTCATGCCAAAGAATTAGTGACATTTTATGCTAAGATGGTCTTATATTAATCTTGAACCTCGTAATCAGATACATGATAATTATCGAATAACTCAGACACATCCTCTCTGTAACGATAAATATGGCCCTCGTTGGTTGATCTATTAAGACAGACTGAGGGTGTCCAAGGACTGATGATTAGGAATTCTTCATCAGTTCCTCTACAGTTTCTTGCATACTAAAGGTAAAAATATGGAATGTTCACGATAGTTTTTATTCTTACACTCATTTTCACTTGCAAAATTAGAAGAATCAATAATTTGGTGAAAAAATTATTTTTAAAACAGCAATATCGCGACTTTCGTGAATGGTGGAACTGTGACGGAGCCGATAGTTGATTCCTATTTCCTCTAAGAATTATCACAGTGGCACTGACAATTCCTCGGCACATTAGGAATTCCTATTTCTCAGTCCTTGGACACTGCTGTTTCTCGTGATAGTTCGGATTCGGTCTCCGGTGCCTATTATGTGTCTCATTAAAGTGCTATGATTAAGAAAAAAACATTTCTGAGCCTAAATGAAGAAATTTCATGTAAAGTAAAAGATACTTTTACATAATGCGTTATAGCATATCTTGGGATATTAATCCTAATGAATACAGCTAATTTTAACTGATTATATGAAGCGAAATCTAACTAGATGGTATTCAAGTTTTACTCGAATACAAAATGCGATGCGAAGCAGGAATCTCGATCCAGGAAAAATCTTCAATTCAGAGAAATCTTGAATACTTTTTTATGTCGACATAATGAAATTCATCACTGAGAAAACTCCATTCTTACTTAGCGATATATTCTTAAAGATCGATTTCGATTGATCGATTAATTATCTCCATGATTCATTATCTTAGATCAGCTGTAAATCAATAGACTATAGTGGCTAANAAAAGATGCGTACTATCTAAAGTAAAAAAGTAAAAAAAAAAACTCGCGACGGACTACAGAAATGCTTCTGCTTCGCATCGCATTAAAAAACTCGCGACGGACTACAGAAATGCTTCTGCTTCGCATCGCATTAAAAATTCGCGACGGACTACAGAAATGCTTCTGCTTCGCATCGCATTAATAAGACTATAAATTATTTCATTTAATTATACATATAAAAATTTAGTTTTCTTCTCTCAAAAGCTTTTTTTGTCTACAGTAACGATAAATTATCAAGAAACTATGGAAAAATCAAATTGAGTTCTTATTTTACTGTAATATAAAAACTAATCAATAAATGGTGTTTACGTTCTTGACAGGACGCTTTACTGTAACACAGTATTATAGAGTTTATTTCCTATGTTCTTGATGAAATATCTTTAGAAGATCGCTGCTTCACATATTGGAATCGGTACCTTAGAGCTTTATCTAATTCAACTGATAGAAATCTAATTTTTGAAAAAACTAATCTTGCAGAATTTAGGAAAAGCTGGTCAGATAATGAATTTTCTATCAAGGGATTAAGAAGGTCTAAAAGATTTGTCTCCCATACATCAATATTAGAAACAGTTTTAACTTGGCTCTCGTCAGCACCTTCTAGCTCTTCTATACCTGATTATGATATGTCTGAAATAAATTTACTTCTTCTTTTTTCCTGATTCTTTCTGTTAAAGCTGTTCTTTGTTTTCTTCGTCTATTTTAACTTTTTTTGTGTGCTGCGTGTTGTGTGTGGTTGGTTCCATATGTATGTCCGTTCTTTTTTCTTTTGTTTGTTCTCTACGTTCTTCTGCGTTTCATTCTCTATGTGATTGTCTCCTTATTCTTCCTTCTCTTTTCATCTGTGGTACTGTTAGGATCTTATGGTCGCAGTTATTGCATATATAAAAAAATAGAAAACACAGTATCATAGAATCCAAAACGAATAGATTAATTGTTGATATCGAGCAAGGGGAGAAAAGCTGATTCCGTGATTCTATGTAGTTCTGTTGATTCCATTGATTCTGTGTGATTCCATCGGCGCTGGAATCACTATGAGTATCACTGTATTTCTCGACTAGAATGTCTTAACATCAATAGGAACATTATAGAATCATTACAGAAATGAATTCTGAAGACTTGCGATCATTCCATTCAATAGGAAAATCAGTTCACTAATGATCGCAAGAATCATTGAGTCGAGCACAAGAGGCATTACCTGTATATTGCTGAATCTCAGCGAAAAGCGTATCAGTTCTCATTTCACA